TTGTGAACGTCCGCGTGTGGGTGCCTTTGCTACCCGCGTCCCGGGAGCGGACGTTGTACTGTTGTTCGGGGTGCCGCCAGAGGCAATAAAGTGTTGTGTACTTTTACATTAGAACACTGTCTATTTGCCGCGCCGCGCTAAACGCCTTATCAGTTGAGCGCGCGCGGAGCGGTGCGCTACACGCGAGTAAACGGAGTAGCGGCCCTGTGGCTCGCTAAGCGTGAACCCGCGGTGATCGTCCGCTGCAGTTAGAGCGGAGTCACTATAGCCTTTGTGCCTATTATCGCCGGTTTATCGCAGACTTTGCCCACATCGCGTCGCCACTAACTCGTCTCACAAGAGACGATGTTGCCTTTGAGTGGAACGAAAAACAGGAGGCTGCCTTTAATCACCTGCGTCAAGGTCTTCAAATGCCCCCGATTCTTGCCCTTTGTCGACGAAGAAGCCCCGACGATGCTTCACACAGACGCTAGCAATGTTGGTCTGGGAGCTGTGCTTGTACAGCAGCAAGAGGGCATAGAAAGGGTATTCGCTTACGCAAGCAGAACGTTTACATGCGCTGAGGCTAATTACTCCACAACTGAGAAGGAATGTCTTGCCATGGTATGTGCGGTTTTAAAATTTCGCCCGTATTTACATGGCCGCCTCTTCAAAGTAATTAGTGACCACCACTCACTGTGCTGGTTACCAAGTCTAAAAGACCCTACCTGGCGATTAGCGCAAGAATTCGATATGGTAGTCGTACATAAGTCAGGCAAGTGACATATGGACGCTGACTGTCTGTCCCGTTCACCCATTGAGTCGGCAACCCTACCTGATGAGGAGGAAACAGCATTTCTCGGTGTCCTCGACACGACCGCCATTGCACAGCAACAACGTGACGACGCTGAGTTGCTTGGCCTAATTAACTACTTGGATGGCGGATCTCAGAAGGCGCCAAGAGTTTTCGCAAGAGTGTTGTCATCGTTTTGTTTATGGGACGGAGTGCTCTACAAAGGAACTTTTCGCCGACGGAATCCGCCTATCTGCTCGTCATCCCAACAGCTCTTCGTACCGAAGTACTCAAAGCATGCCACAGTGAAGTGAGCTCTGGCCATTTGGGTTACACGAGAACTTTGGCCAGAATACAGCAAAGGTATTACTGGCCGAGACTAACCACAGCCGTGAAGCACCACGTCCGTACTTGTCTCGACTGCCAGTGACGCAAGTCACCACTGACTAAACCAGCTGGCCTCCTGCAACCCGTGCAGGTCCCAACAGCTCCATTCTACTAGATCGTCATGGACATTTTTGGCCCACTACCTACTTCTACTGCAGGGAACCGCTGGGTTATCGTCGCGACGGATTATCTGGCCCGTTGTGTCGAGACAAAGGCTATCCAGAGAGGTACAGCAGCGGAGATGGCAAGATTTTTCATCGAGAACATTGTACTGAGGCATGGTGCACCAACCGTCGTGATCACAGACAGAGGAGCCGCATTTATGGCACCTCTTTTGGATCACGTCCTTATGCTGAGTGGGACAGCGCATCGTAAGACCAGCGCCTACCACCCACAAGCGAACGGGCTGACAGAGCGTCTAAACAAAACCATTGAAGACATGCTTTCGATGTACGTAGACGTTGAACACAAAAATAGGGATGAAATCTTGCCAGATACATAACGTTTGCGTACAACACGGCCAAGCAAGAAACGACCCGCCTGACCCCGTTCAGCCTCGTTTATGGATGAGAAGTACGAACTGTGTTAGATGCGATGCTACCACACAAAGGTGACGACATCGACCCATACGCCAACACGTTTACGGAACGCAGGGAAGAAGCCAGGCAACTTGCACATTTACGGATCCGCCAGCAGCAAGAGTACGATGCAGGCCGCTACAATGCTCACCGCAGAACAGTCGTCTATCAAACTGGCGACAATGATGAGGACTTTCCGAAAAGCTTTTAAGAAGATAATTTGGGCCATACTGAGTGCTGCGACAACTGAGTGAGGTCACTTACGAAGTTGTCCCCGACAGTTCGTGTAGTACCAAGCGTCGCCAGCATCATCCTGAACTCGTTCACATAGTGCGCATGAAGCCTTACGTCAGCGAGTAATTGCGTGAGACTTTTCTTTAAAAAAAAAAAAACTGCATTAGTGAGTTCGCATCGGGTCGATGCTCTTTGAGAGGGAGCAAACGATTCGTGTCTGTGTGTGAACGACAACGATGATGTGGGGATTTAGCGAACACCGGGTAGTCGGCCTCTGGCTTGACTCGAGAACAAAGAAGACAATCTTGCGGATCAGCTGTTGAGAACACGCTGCTTTCACTGCCTCAAGGCGTACTTGTGCTTTGTTCGCGTTGTACTGCGACACAACAACTCATAGCTATAGATCATAAACGCATATCTACTCCACTGTCCACCGAGAAGTCTTTCAGGAAAGATGTTTACCTTTTTCTGAAGATGCATGGTCCAAGTAATTTCTGTAATGTGAGGGGCTGTCCAAACTGTCCAGTTTTTTTCTTAATTTTTATCTTTCATTTGAGTTCTTTGTGCGTTCCAAAAGAATATGCCCTACATTATCATCTTCATTATCATCTTCTTGCCAGTGAGCTGGATCGGTGTATTCTGTGTAGGAAGCTGTTTGTACATGGGTGTATTTTATGTAGGAGGCTGTTTGTATATCTTCCCATTTTGTCTTAAGAAAGCTGCCGCCTTGAAAATTTCCGTGGCCATCAATGGGAAAGTGCAAAAATTATTTTCTTCATTAAAACAAAAAATGTAACGATAAGATTTACTATATGAAAAGAACTGTTCATTTGCTTTCGATTTAAGTATGAAGGTGATTTTTAATTGGACCACCACATAGCGTAAATTGCATCTCAGTATGGACAAAAATGACGATTTTGAGAAATTTATGATTTTTTCTCGTAAAGTTTAGCAGCAAATCAGCACAATATTTTTCAAATGCATGAGATGGTCGCCAAAATGTCTAAGACGTTTGGCGTGGAATGACCCATTTGCTACTTCCGGTTGAAGTCTGTGGAATAATGCCTTAGTGTGTCATAGGAGATCTGTCGCTATTGAGAATTTTCTGTGTGAGTCAACATCATATATAGTAATGATTGATTTAATTTAGTGCTATGATACCACATCTCCATAAAACAGTGGTTAGCTTCTTGCATTATAATGTTTTGAATATTTGCCCCATACACAGGAATTGCACAATCCCATCCTTTTTTCAAGGCTTTCTTGATGAGCCTATCTGCCTCTTCGTTGCCCTTTATTCATATGTGGCTGGGTATCATTCGAAATACAAGGTTGTGACCTTACTCTGTGGCATATTCCGTAGTTTCTGCTATGCACCGTGCTATTTAGCCATTTTTGTAAGGCAATCTCGCATGTTTAATCAAATTAAATGTGGGTTTTCTATCCATGCTAACTACTACACAGTGTCCTGTCCCGGAGTTTTCGCAGATACACTTCACTGCTTCAAAAACAACCACTAATTCCAATGTCCTTGATGAAGATTTGTGTGATAATTTATACATTCTCCTTTCTTGAATTTCTGATATGAAGATGGCAAAGCCTGATGCTTCTTCAGGGCAGAACCCATCTGTATATATATCTTTGTCTTTCCGTTGTGTATTGTATGAAAATGATAAAACACCATTCGTATTGTCACTGAAGGTGCTTCGTCGAGCGTCTTGCATATACTATCTGTTATCTCACAGATAATATTTGGAACTGGCAGTTTCTAAGGTGGTCTTGAGGGTGTGCATTGTTTATGTCCCGGTAATACTGCTCGGAATGATGGCACACTATCCTGGAGTCACGTGACAATCCTCTGTGTTAGTTTACATACAAAGGATGACTGTCATGTTACGTAAAAATTCTAACATTTTTCTTGCTCGCAGTTGTCCAACTTCTGTGCACACCATATTGCTAGAAGTCGGCCGTGGCAACCCCAGACATACCCTCAGGCTCCTTGCAATAGCAAGCGAATTCTTCTTTTGATGGAGGCTGGAAGTCCATGCAGCCGAGGCATGGAGTAACTCAACATGTGGAATATCCTCACAATAATTAGAGCTAACAGCAACTCTGAGCAATGATAGATATTTTAAATGGCTTGGTTCACTTTTCGTTCAAATGACTGTACTCGATACAACCATATTGGTTTCCTGTCTAAAATCACACCTAAAAATCGATGAGCTGGTGTGCCATCTGAATAGGATGGTTTTGCATAACAATCTTGAGATCTCCAGGTCTTTTTAATGTAAATGATAGTGTGGCTGTTTTGGCCACTCTCAAAGCCATACCTTTTTCTGTAAGAAAATGGTCTACATAATTCAGTCCTTCGTGTGAATTTAGTTGAACATGCAAAAACGACGGACGAGATGCTCATCATCTGTATGTACTGGACATGTAACGTCAGGCGTAAGATTATGCAGGAGCTGTGCCATGACTGCATTAAAGAGCGTGATGCTTAGTACGCTGCCTTGGTTATGTTCTGACATTGCATAACCACAAGAAATGGATGATATTTCACGAAGTCAATAGCCTTAAGAAACATTAAACAAAAATATATGCTTTTTTTTTTCGCCACCCTTTTTTGTTTCTGCTTTACGAACCTCCTGAATTTCTAGGTCGCCTGTCAAACGGTGTGGCAGATGCTGCAAATTGTAATGTCAACATTGTTTGCTCTGTGAGACAATGCAATGTGCTTTCATTAAATTAATGTGCACAGTGCATGAATTAGTTGATTTTAAATAGCTTGTCCATCTATTTTTTATTTAATAGTAAGTCTCATTTGTTGTATTACTCCAAATTGTGGATTCCGGGCTCTAAATGGAGTGTTTGACTTTTCCCACAACCTGCTTGAAACTTGTATATTTATGCTCGAAAAGCAACACTCTGCTGCTCCAAAAATTGCTATGGTTCCTAATTTGCTGTTGCATGCCTGATTATGTAAACGTGTGCACCCACTGAGTGGTCATATGAGTGGTGGTCTCATGCAGGTGCGCTCCATGGACTGCTTTTTGCTGGAGGGCGTGCGTGCTCTTTATCGCATCGCAATGACCATCCTCATCCTCTTCACCCAGGATTTGTCTCGTGAGTGCACTGACATTCTGTGCTACACTTGCATCAACATCCGAGGAGGCATGATGAGTCGATGCAAATTACTAAGAACGTTCCTCCCGTCTTTAGATTTAGGCACTGCTTTGGTACCTTATGATGAAAAGTTGTAACCAAAGTTTCAATTCCTTGGTCTTTGATGCCTGTTCCTCTTATTTCCTCATTGCTAGCGCATATTATGACAAAACAAGTAAAAGGACCAACAGGGCAAGGCACGGACTGTCAATTGATTTTGTTTACTTTAAATATACAGTCAAACACGGTTATATTGAACCTACATATATCGATCTTTCGGGTATATCGAACTCGTAAGTTATCCCCTTGCAATTTCCTTGTAAGAGTATAGAAATTCGCATGTTTACATCGAACAGTATCTTTACCGGCCTTCGGATATATAGAACGCCGCATGAGCTGGAAGGTGCGCTTCGCACTCGCCGGTGCCCTGCAACCTGCACGGCTTCACGCGCGAGTTGGAAGGCGCGTTTTGACACTCGCATGCCCGGCGACCTTCGCGCAGCACCACGCCTCTGTTAAAACCTGAAACTCCCGAAAAAAGGTATCAGCAAGGAGGCTCAGACTGCACAATCTCTAACTTGCGGAACAGTTTTTTTTTTTCTCTCTCTTTCTCTCTCTCATGCTTTCTCCGTGTACCCGTTGGCCCGAAGAGCGTCAGCCAACCACAGCTCGCGCCTTTTGCTGTTGCCCTCGCAGGTGGCCATCGCCTCACGAGTGCTTTGCTTCTGTTGTCGCGTCGCCTACGTACGACCGCATGTGCAGCATTTCTCTTTTGCGTGTGTGAAGCCGCTGCAGACTGCTTGAATTGTCGACTTCTCGTGTAGCTATAGCAAGGGTCAAGAAGCGCAATACCCTTGACTTAGCGACGAAGTTGAAGGCTATTCAGCGTGCTGAGGCAGGCAAGAAATAGTCCACCTTTGCGGGCTTGGGGATACCACGGAGCACTCTGAGTACCTTGTTGAAAAACAAAGCAGATATCAAGGCAAAGGCAGTGGAGCAGTGAACTTCGGGAGCCTGTCATGTGCGCACTACTGCCCATGGGAACGTAGAAGAGACACTCTGTGCCTGGTTTTTAGAAGTGCGCGTGAAGAACATTTCTATAGATGGCCCTATGCTGATTGCCAAGGCCAAATGGTTTGCTGCTGCACTCTGTAAAACAACTTCGCTGACAACACCTGGTGGCTTCAACGATTTAAGCAGCGCTACAACATTGTTGGCAAAACCATTTCTGGCGAAGGCGAAGCTGTAAGCAGCCAGAACATCCAGCTGTGGATGACAAGGGAGTGGCCGGAAATCTCTGCGAAGTTTTCTCCTGCGGAAATCTTCAATGACTGGCGAGACGTGAAGACGGACACAGTTGTCAACTGCTTCTGCAATGCAGGCTTTGAGACGGCTTAACTTGCGGAAACCGGTGAAGACGACGGCGAGCGCATAGTAGACGCGTTTCGCGAGTTGTCCCTCCACTTACCGGTAGCAGTTCCACACGAAGTCTACGGACGACTTCGTGGAAGCAGACTGCAATGTCCGGGCCATTGCGAGCCTCGCTTACGAGGACATAGTAGCTGCGGTCGCAGGGACCCAGTATGCCCAGGCCGACAGCTCAAGTGATCAGGAGGATCGTCTCGACGAGGCGCTGGCTACACACGCATACTGCGCCGCTAAAGTAGTGGCAGCGTTCGTCGTCATTTGCCGTTGTATCGGCGACATGCGAGGGAACCAGACTTTCGAACTTGGACAGCCTTGATAAGATTGAGACTAGTGTCTTCAACTTCATTTCAAATGTGAACAAGCAAGCCAAGATAAGCGATTTTTTTTCATGCAAATAAATCATTTTGTTCTGGCGTGTGTATGGAATTAGTTGTCATTCTTGAATGCACCTATTATAGGTGATGGTCGGCATTCAGGTAAGCTCTCGGGGCCTCTGTTTTTATATATCAAATTTTTCATATATCGAAGTAATTTACGATCCCCTTCGAATTCGATATATCCGGGTTTGACTGTAGTGCAATATATGCCAGTCGAAGAACAAATACACCAGAAAAGATTGAGGAAGAGGAACATAACCATCTGCTGTCTGGGCCAGGTGGCTTTTTATAATGATGAACAGGGCATATATAGCAGTCGTCTGACAATAGTTTTAGAGGGGTGACAAACAATAGTCCTCACGAAGTGACAGTAAGTACATTGTATGCGCTTCTCAAATCTCTGATATCAGCCATACTCATTTACTCGTGGAATGTCTCACGCCGGGCTTCTGTCTCACTTATAGTAGCAATGTCGCATGGTGCTGAAAAACTCAGATGAGCACTCACGCTTACTTTCAAACCAAATTAAAATTCATCAAAAACAATGTTCTTTGCTCATAACCAGCCAGACCTACCCACCCGTGCCACAACACCAAACGACACGAGTATGTCAGGTCTCCTAATTTGGTGGTGCCAGGGGTCCTTTAAAGCCTACCAAACTAAATAGCAAAGCCAAATTGTACTTGTCTTTAAAACTAGATAAGCTCAATTCTTTGTCTATGTCTGGACTTTATCACTATCACTTGTATGTTTATCACATGCTCTGCTTAAAGAAAATTTCTGGTTTTCTGACAGCCTTAAAAGTGTGAAGTGCACAGGTTCTTTTGAAGACTGCAAGTGTAGTTAGTGTGCGTTTGGCTAGTAATCAGAATGCGATGGCACGCCAACAAAACACACAAATAGCACATACCCTTTGACCTTGTTTAATTCAGGCAGAGTTCATTTCATACATATACTGCCTTTCAATAAACGTTCGTAATGGTGTGTGTGATGATTGCCATTTAGCTAAAATCAAACTAAAATAAACTAATCTTCAGTTCATCATTGATCTCTTCAATACACTGACTTTACAATTTGTGCTTATATAAACGGTAGCTTAAAATTATACTGAAACTATGTTGAGCTGGTGCAGTTCCATTTGAAGACAAGTGTAGCTTTATTTTGTATCAGAATTGTATCAGCCTTCAGAAGAGCTGGTATTAAGATCACACTGAATGTGTGTCTGTCTAGCTGATGCACGCCATCATTGGTGCAATTCGGAATGCTTCAGGTGCACGTGACATTCGTGTATGTCACTCTTCACATTTGTGTGTGTCACTTGTTCAACGTGCTATAGTTAAAAGCAAACACGTGTCCATCCCCTGTATCCCATTCTATCTCCATGCAGAGTACTGGCATGCCAGCGATATGTGGATGCCGGCAAAAATCTTTGTTTTTCACTCTGGATACACCAATGATTAATGGTGCTGCGCATTCTTGAAATAAGCACCTTCAACTGAGACCATTGCATTGCCAGTTCCAAACCAGTAGTCTTCTCCTGGAACCAGTTCAATACCTTCAATACCAGCACTGCCAGCTGGAACTATTGTGGTGCCAGTTCAAGATCAGTAGCTTTCTGCTCGGACCATTAGAAACCAGTAGTATACCAGCTGACTTCCACTTGAAACTGCTTCATGCCGATTGAAACTAGCAAAAAAAAAAAAAACATTTCGCCTGGGACGAATATTGTGTTCCTAAAGGAGCAACTAGACGCGTACATGTGCTGTTGAATCCCTTAAATTATACTATACCAAGTTTCAGAACAGAAAAGTGACAGTACCTTTAGCATGATCCCACAGCCATGCTATACAAGTACGAATGTGCGAGTATTATTGTACTCTTAAGAAATTCAAATATTCGCTTGCTTTCCTATATAATTAATGTTACTTCCCCAGATATTGCACAAAGTTGTACAAAATGAATAATTCCTCAATGCTTGCTAATGTTTATAGTACGAGCTGGAGTATTGCCTTTGAGTAAATAGCAGTATTTCACAAACTTTTTCTTCTGAACTAAAGAATTCTTTGTGCTGGTTGCTCAGTCATTTTCTTGTCTATTTCTGCTCAGTATCTTGTGCAAACATTTGCTGTAAAAGAGATTTAATCCCCTTATTAGGATTCACCTTCCAATTTTAAAGCTCTTGATCTCTTAAAAATGTGTACTAAGGTCATGTAGCACTCTATGCCTTATAGGCGTTGATGGCCCTAGTGAAGCTGCTGATTCAACTGGCAGCTCATGATTGTGTTATGCCAGTGCAGCCCTGTAATGAGAAGCAGCAGGATCGCATCAAGCTGGTTCATGTTGATGTGCATGAGTTAGTGTAGTGTCACGGCTGCTACATGAAAAGTGTAGCTTCAGTACCATGTGACTGGTTGTGAAGTGTTGTATTCACATCTCTTGCTTTCTTTTATGCTGCCAGGAAAAAAGAAGAAGAAAGGTAACTTTGCATGCAAGATTTTACTGTGGAGAATTATGAGTCATTCCCTTTTCCACATCATTCCTGTTGCAGTAGAGTATTCATAAAAAGGATGTGCTTAATTTTGCCTGTAATTTTTTTTCTAGCCACAATGTGACTTAGTAGCTTAGTAACACACTCCTTCTACTTTGTTTGTTTCTTTCTTTATTGTTACCCAAAACAAAATCTCTTCTGCTTCGGATTGGTATGTATTTGTTGTTGCTTGTGGTGGCGTACTGATTTGAATAAACTTAGTTAGTCAAAGCATTTGTCACCATTCTCACCAGCCGGATGCTCGACATGGTCGCAATGCTACATGAACTACAAGGTCAGGACTCCAATTGATAAAGCTGCTGCGGAAGTGTTACGTGAGTGACTGTCACTCCATGGGCACGGTGCAATACAAAAAAAAGGGAAAGGAAAGGTCTGCACATGCAGATGTGTGTGTCCAAATTAAGACCCTCAATATGTCTACTAGTTGATGGCACTGTGCTACATTTTACAATAGGGCAAGGCAAGCTTTCTGTGCCAAATCAGTTTTTGAATCTGTGCGCTGAGCAAACTTTTATTTCTCCTAACTGGAAGTGAAACGTAATGAAATCAAAATGCACTGAACCTGAACCCAAACTGAACCAGGTTTGGTTGAATGTGTGCAGAGGTGCAGCTTGTAAGTGAAGTTGTTGAGCTGCTTACACTATTACTAGTTATGGTTAAGGTTTTCCCTGAGCTCCACGTTGTCGGTGTGTTTTGTGCAGTGGAAGACCCATCTGGAGACTCCACATCAGACACGGGCAACTTCCTGGACAGGATCATAGTGTTCTGCAAGCACATACCCTACAACGTTGACCGGTTCCTCAAAACTGCCTATAACATTCAGGTGTGTGTGTGTGCATGGGTGGATACTACACGAAGACAAAGCGTTCGCTGGCATCACGCTTTGTACTGAGCTGAACATAAGAGCAGGGCAAAGAAAACCTTTGTTCAGTCTGAGCAAGGCATCGAAACGAACTCAATCTGAGCTGTAATTAAATTTGGCCAAACCCAATCTGTTAGTTTCAGGGTGTTTCTCAGCTTTAACTGATGCTGTATTAGAGGAAATATAGTGGTTACAGATTCCAATTGAAAAGTTTGGAGCTCACGACGCAAGAATGGTAGCACAACAGATAACAGATTCTTTGTCAGTGAGCCCTGCTACCAAATTGTGATGGCTACCAAGTACGGTAGCATTATGCACATCGTAGTGATAGGTAACTGACAACAAAGGTGGTCAAACAAGAGCACTGATTGAGCTCCTCATTCAAAAAAGAACATGTGTGGCAGGTGTTTCACTGAACATGTTGCAAAAAAATTTTTAAATATAGGTATAAAAAAAAGAAAAGAGAGCAATCCTTTGTACCAAGCCGTTATGTTTAGTGGGAATCAGTAATTGTACAAAATGTGAAAATTGAGTAGTTAACTAAAATAATCTAATTACCTTTTTATTTGTAACATTTGACAGTTATTGTCTAAGGCACATCTATACCCAAAAATATGATGCTGTGCCAGCTTATAATACAAGTTTCGGTTTCAATAACAAGAAAACATCTCATTTATGCTCGCTGTAGGGCCTCAAAAAATCTAATTATTGCAGTTGCACAAGACTTCTGGACTCCTATGCAGTGATTTTCATTTTGCTGAATAAAAAAAGGCCGATTCGCTCATGTTGCTAGGCTTTAGGCAATTTTCTTTCCTTTAAAAAAATATGGCATCATCTCCATCATGGCTACATCATGGCTACAGCTTTGCTAATTAAAGTTATTCAGTACATTTGAATAACAACACAACTAATTAGTATGGCCTGGACAATTTTTGACTTTTTCTGCTGTTTAAAATCTCATCTGAAGATGTTTTTCTTCTTAGTTCTTTTTTAACATTCTTTTCAAGGATTGCTGAAACACCCAGCATTTACTTGAAAAGCTACTGTTCACTACTTTTTGACATCTAAATGCAAAAATATCAAGCGTTAGTATCGGTGAAAATGTAGCATGAAGTGGTGAATGGTCTCTGTCTGGAGCACTTTGCCTTGTGCTAGCTCTGTAGTTGGTTCAAGTGGCAGATGCTGCTCATGAGGAAACTGAAGGGGCAAGCTGTTCACAGATTTTGTTGATCGAAAAATTCGGACGTTAACAACTGCAAGACCAATAATTGGTGTTTTTTATGAAAAATGCTAAATGGCATTATTAAATGGAAGATACAAGTTTATGGTCGACAAAGCACTTGTGTCGTACTTGTAGCATTTGTAGTCAACGTACAATAGCACAAATGAAAACTTGGGCCTTGCACATTTTTATCTTTCACAGCAATATCACTGGTCAGAGGTAAACATCAGCCAGCTTGATGCTGAATCTACTGGACGTGATATGTTCGTATTGTAGCTTGTCCCAACAATGCTCTACTTCGTCGTTGCATGCTGCTATTGGAAGGCTGCTGCTCGAGACACTTGCCCACTTCACGATGTTTCATTTGTAAAGAACCTGCCATCCTCACATGCAACTTGGAACTCCGCAGGGCTTCAGTGCCAAGCTTCTGAATCAGCAGCTGCTCAAATCAGAGATGTACATCCGAAGCTGCTCGAGTGGACGGTTGCGGGCAGCATCTGAGAGTGGCCCCCCAGGCTCCTGCTACCACCTGGACGTGACGTCTGCCTACCTGTCCATTAAGGAGAGCAAGAACAGAGCCATGCGTGCCATGTCGGTCGGCATCATGCCAATGGCCAATTTCCGATCTGAGGTGCTTAGCTCTGAGCAGGTAAAAAGCATCCATGATATTTTCATTAGGACAAGCAATACAGTAAAACCTAATTAATTCGAACTGCAAGGGGGAGCCACCTCAGTTCGAAATAATGAAAGTTCGAACTAACGAAAGTGAAGAACAACAATAATACACTGCAAGTAGGGCATGACAATTTATTTATTTTTTAAATCTGTAATCGCGGTCTGCCTTCTTTTCTTGAAGGCAACAGCCAGCTTTTTTTGCTCTAACGAGCGAATTTGGCAGAAGGCCTCTTCTCCGCCTTCTTCAAAACTTAAGAAAAGACGATCGGCATTCAGTCCGGCCATGACTTCCGCAGCAGAGGGCCACACTGGTGCTTCGTACTCCTCCTCATCATCGTCACTGGCAGCGACAGGTTCTGCACTTCTCACCTGACATATTATGTCGCCATCTGTGAGTGCACCACACACCACTGCACTTCAGTCCACATCGACGTAGTCCGCAAAACAGATGTCTTCCAAAACGTCTGCCATGGAGGCGGTGATGTCGTGTTCGAGCACTGGTGGCTCGTCAGCTTGCAGAGCTTCGGTGCTGAAGCCACAGTGGCGAAAGCAACTTGCTATCGTAAGCGCTGTCACTAGCTCCCAAGCACGCACAAGCATGTGTAGTGCACAGGAGTGTCACGTAGTTATTGCACAAAATAATTCGTTTCAACATAGGACGCTGATGAAATGATTTTAAATTTCTAATTATATTCTGGTCCATGGGCTGCAGTACCGCTGTCGTGTTTGCTGGAAGGAAGGCCAGCTTGTCGTGTTTGCTGGAAGGAAGTGTTTTGGCACGGTATTTGCCGCGGGCACACGCCATCAAGTCGGAGCAGCAGAATCGCGACAGACGGTAGCGCCGGTAGTAGTCGCGACAGACGCGACCTCTACCGGCGCTACCGCAACAAACGTTAGCCGAGGCCTAACACCAACACAAAGAATCGCGACAGTCGGAAGCTACTCCCAGCATCAACACCGAGGTGTACGGCGCACGCCTGAAACAAAGACTGCAGAGAAGGCTGGGCGAAGCTACGACGCATCCGATTTGCGGTGTGCTGCTCATGCCATCTGTCGTCTAACAGCGACAACTACGCAGGATTTTCAAAGGCTCCGAGATTGGCGCTTAAAGAAAGATTAATCTTGCAGGTTACATAGGACGGAGAGCAGACAGCCGCCGAGAGAGAGATTGTGGGGGGAGGGAAGTGAAGAGTAAGTGGTGCTATTTTCTGCACTCTGGCCTCCGGGCCAGTTTCTCTGTTTTTCTCTCCGCTCCCTGTCCACGTCGCCTTGTAACTCGGCAGCTGCGATATCGAGTGACTAGCCAAGCCGCCGGCACGGTGGCGCGTAGTTCAAATTATTCGCGGTGGAACCTACTCGCTTGAATTAACGGGCTTTTTTTATTCATAGGCTTGTATGAAGCTTGGCCGGGCCATAACTTACAGTTCGAATTATCCATAAATTCGAATTATTGAAGTTCGAATTAACGAGCTCTCACTGTACTACTAAAGGTCTCAACGAAGAGTTTCTCACAATAATACCTCGATGGAGATGTGGCGCCACTGCCTATGCGAGCTTCCTAAAGGGTGTTCTGCCATCATAGAAATGATGCTATAAGTGCTATAAGTGTCTGCAAAGCTTTTGTTGGCTGGCATTCAGCAGGGATTGGCTGAAAATGCTGCTGTGGCTGCACAAATAAAGCTTCTCTAGAACAGAACCTTTCCAAATACAGTCGAACCCTTTTATAAGAGACAAATGAGTATAAGAGACACCAGTGTGCCTACAGTAAAGTATGGGTTAATAGGAAAATGCATATGTACCATATTTACTTGTCTAATCAATTTATTCACATAATAAACGCAACCCGAACTTCAGTCGTCAAAATCTGGGTTTTTTATTTTTTCCCCGTGTGATAAACGTACCCTCTACGATCGTGCTCTGCTGTCACACTAACTGACACCCGGCACCTCCTTGCCCGTTGAATCTCTTCCGTCTTTTATTATAATGCCGACCCCCTCAGCCACCTCAGCTTTCTTCCTCTCTACCTTCGGCTACTGCCGCGCTCCGTATGGTTTTTCTTTCTATCTGTAAGCAGCGTACGCGTATGTCAGTTGCGAAAGGCTAGGCGACCTAACTTTTTTTTTTGCATTACTACATTTTTTGCTCATGCCAAAAATGTTTTATAAAAATTTACCTAGCATAATAAACGCACCCCCAACTTTGTCTTGATTTTTCGTGAAAAAAAAAAAAGTGTGTTCATTATGCAAGTAAGTACGGTAGTACTCTGCTTGTAAGAGATATCTGATATAAAAGACAAGAATTGCTGCCCGGAGCATGCCTCTTACAAAAGGGTTCAACTGTAGATCCAAGAACATGTGCAGCATTTTACAGTTGTGGTCCAGCCTGTTTAGGATTTAAAGAAATTTTTAGAGCAGGCAAAAAAGATGTTTCTGAGCTTATTTGGAGCAGAAGGCACTGCGTTTGAAAGCAGGTAAACCGATGTTTCGAATCACTTGGAGCAATGTATCTGTAACTTTCCTGTGTATATATTCATTAGTGTACAGAGATGAAATGTTGCTCCAATATATACAAGGGGACAAGACCAACAGTCACAAAACAGGCATTAATGAGGCTGTTGTAATAAAAAAGTAACCTGTGCTAGTTTTACCTCAACATACAAGATATGCATTGATGTGAAGCACTAGTTACAAGATGAGCATGGCATATGTGATTTTTAGTAGTATAGATGTCAAGACATCATTTATTCCAAGTTTTTAAGGGGGGGAGGGGTGACCACCCCTATATATACATGCCAAGTCATCACTGACAGAGGTAATACATGCAGATAATGTTAAGCTGATTATATGACAGGTGAAAACGAGCAGAGTAGAGGGCTTCTCAAGAAAAAAAGAAAAATACTTTCTGGCTTTGCCTCTGCCTGTGCTGTGACTGCAGATGGCCCTCGTGTGGAGCTGGCTGCCCACACGCATCACCATGCTGCAGCCAGAGGTGATCTACTCGACCAACGAGCATGGCAGCAGCTTGACAAACTTCTTCTTCCACACCGACACATGGGAGCCCACGCTGTTGGCAGTGCTGACCACGCGTGACGAGCGCTTTGGTGCCTACTGCTCAACTCGGTGGCAGGAGCGCACCAAGACGTACTTTGGCACCGGCGAGACCTTTCTCTTCACGTTCGTACCTGAGCCACGGCGGTTCGCCTGGGTCGGCGTTGGCTCCAGTCAGGACGTGCCCCATTCGTCCCATCTGTTCATTTCGGCCAACCAGCACATGATCCAGGTTGGAGGAGGGTAGGCATCTACTGCGTAACTGAAACTTTGCTATGTGTTGCTTAACTCTGCCTCTGGTTTCCATGATATGCCGTTAAATTGTTCCTAAATTTGGTCAATTTGTACTGGTCACTTCATAGCAGCGATTCATACCAACCATTACAATAATAGAAAGATTCGAGAATTAACCTTAATTGCTGTATTTGGCATCCAGATCACTGTTTGTGTGCCATGGTGTCTTGCAGGAGTCAACATTGTATTTAGCATGCTGTCGAAGCAGATCTTAGAGGCAACATGGAAAGAAGTGTGGTTAGGGTATACTCGTCGGATGCCACAACGATCCCAGCTGCTCACAAATTTTCAGGGAACTCAGTTAATTTTCAATAGTTATTCTGACAGCTGATTGGTTCCTACCTTAAGCCTAGGTGTGCAAAAAAAAACTGGAAATTACTCGTATTCTCGCAAAAAATGCTTCATGTTTTTTTTGTTTTGTTTTTCAACTATACTCACTCAGGCTCACTGACCAAAATATTTCTCAGCCGTACTCACTCAGACAGAGATTCATGGCTTGATTCGAGTGAGTCGACCCATGCGAAGTTAAGTTATGCTACAATATCATATGAATCAAACATAATTGTTAACCAAGCCATCAGTTTCTATTTTCTGTAAGACTTTTTATGAATATTCAGAAAACTGGAAGTAATAGCTTGATTGAATATGCTTAAAAGAAGAAGAAGAGTGTCAATCAGTGTTCCTGTCACCAATGAAATTCCCATGGTCTAACGTATCACTAAAACAGCTAACGAGAAAGATGCCTGTTTTTATGTGCCAGATGGTCTAATTGTTCGATCAAAGGACAGAATATGATGCAATAGAGGAAGAGTATGATGGGCTAGCTGCTAAAACTGAGCACGAAGTTTAGTTCTAATGCTTTACCAGCTACATTGCAAACAAACCCTAAGCGAGTTCGGAAGACAATTAACTCTGTTCATTTTAGTCATATTTCGCATAATAATGGCTCTCAACTTCTGGTTCCCGAGACTAAGGTTGCAGACTGTCTTAACACAGCATTTAGTTCATTTTCCAGTAATGAAATATCTGGCATAGTGCACCATTCACGTATCTGATCTTGCAAAAACATCACATTAAATCCCTTTGGCTTTATCAAAATAATTTAATTGTCGAATAACTTCCACCGCAGTAGACGGTATCAATACCAAAGTGCTAAAATATGCTTAAAGGCATACTGACAAAAAATTTTGCGGCCGAGATAGTCTGAGGGGTCGATTCTCAGGAACATTCTTATGCCATCTGCAAAATATCAATAGAAAATACAGCTTGGAAGGTATTTTAATTTAGTTTTGAAGTTTGCGCAAGCTGTCGACTTCATCGTGCCATTGACACCCACGAAGGGGACCCTTTGGGGACCCCCTGGTTCCCGCCCCATGCCACGCTGCAGCCAATAAAACAAGCTATGATGATGTCATAGCCGCTTTTTTTTTTGCCACGTTTTTGTTCACAATCTATTCTTTTCGGTGGTTGGTTGCGACCACCTAATGGAATAGAACTCGCTGCAGATGTAATTCTACTTATGTAGGGGAAACCCAACATGCTTACCTGAAGCATGAGCATCTTCGATAGTTTTGCTGATGGAGAAGTAGACACTCTACCAATCGGAATCAATGGGCATCTGCGCTACACACTGAATCAAAGAGCTGCATTTAGCGCAGGGTTTAGAACTACACCTATAGCTACACAAAAACTTTTTCATTTACATCACATTCCTGCTTCTTTAAGCCACCAGTATGCATTTCTGGTTCCCAAGATTTGCGTCTTATGTGATATACACCAGCTGTGACGTTGCACTGACTTCGCAAACTTTGGTGATCCGTAACGCCAGTGTGACATTATATGGTGATGTAATAAGTGATGATTTTTTGCATCAATTGTCTCTGACGTCACGAGATGCTGCCAAACACCTACACGAGACACCTACAGTGAAGTTTCGCATTTACAAAGGTTTCTAAATAAATAAATAATCAAAAAGTGCAGCCAGCTTCACTTCATGAACGCTGTCAAAACTGCGATGCTGATGTCCCCTTTGTCAGGCTCACCTTCACCCATATTTGTGCAACTTTTCCTATTGGTTTCCATCGAATCTCACCCATCTTGGTACGGCACAGCTAGGCTTGTGTGAATATTCGAATGCTTCATATATTGTAACGAATAATAGGGTGTCTGAATTGGCTTTGATTCGGGTTTTAATTATTGAAAATTTTGAAGTAAAGACTCGCAAGGAACAAATAAATTCATATTAGTCCAAATATACCACGTGTAAAGGTGGTTTCACTGCATTGTAGTGCTGAACCGTGAAATTATTTATCGAGGGGAGATCCGCTATGCTGCAAAGCCACTTTCAAATTTAAAGGCGCCCTGCAACACTTTTGGAGCATTGTCAGAAAACGCTGCCGATCGGTAGTTGAGGCTACCGAGGACACGCAAGTCATATTATAGCGCTGCATGTGGCGTGCAGTTAGCAATAAGCTCTCAAAGTCAGCTAAAAATTGCTCTCTTCTCTCGGCAAATGACTCCACAAGCTCAGAAAGCCCACATGATGTGTTTTCTTTCTCGGTGTCATATCTCTCTGCTTAGGTTCCAGCGCTTTCGTCGGGATGAGAAGAGAGAATGTACTTCCAGCGTGCGACCATTCTTTGCAACTCCGCACGTACTGGGCGAATTCTAAAAATGTTTGCGGCGGTGAATTCATGAGGCAATAAGCTTCCTTAGTGAATTCATTCCATGGCGATTTGAAAATGTTGCCCAGCCTTTTTAAAAGAAAGTATTACCCTCACAATAATCTTATTAAGTTTAAAAACTTGTTTTGTTAGCTTATATGCTCAAAGTATAAGAAATATTACAATTTTATGTATTTTAAAAGTTATGACTCACATCCTACCCAAAGTCGAATCCTGCTAATACTCAGTTTTTTTTTTTTTACTTTTTTTGAATGAAAAAAAAAATGGCACTTGCGTAGACGCTTTATTTCAATTTTTAAAAAAAATATTGTACAGGTTAGTTAGGTCATGAAAACATGCCCATTTTTCTTTATATGTCATATATACTATTCGATTCGAAATTATTCGAAGAAAATCCCTATTTACTTTGAACCTAAAATTCACTATCCACACAAGCCTAGGCACAGCCCTTCCTCCACTCTCACCAAACAGCAAAGCCCTGTGACCAGTGCTGTGCCAAGCCTCGACTGAAAATGGCTTTGCTGCAAAAGTCATCTCCTTAGCGGGAATAGAGGGTGGCCACAGTATGTTGTCCTCTGGCCAACTTCTCTCGCAATACAGCAAGTACCAATGTGACTCTGCATAGTTTGGAAAGAAAAAAATACCTACAGAAAATACCCTCATAAATTATTCTGGCTCCCATGCAGGGGGAAGTTGTATACTCTCCTTGGTAGTGAGTATTTTTCAGTTGATATTACAATAAGCAAAAGAAACGGACTTAAGCAGGTCATGCAATCCATACGACAGATGGAGCAATGGGATGGATACCAAGGAATGCAGCAGAGGGTGGCAGACTGTTAGGTGGGGTAAATAAATTTTTAAATTTGCAGCCATAAAGTGGAATGAGGTTGCACAAGATGAAGAATAACGGAAAGGTAGGCTAGTTGGGTAGGGTTCATAATGCATTAAATGGGGCAGCGTTAAGACAAATACATGAACAAGAAAAGAGCAGCGCTTGTCATGTTTTTCTCGTTCATGTATTTGTCTTAACGCTACCTTATTCAACACACGAATTATTGGAGTGGAAATAAGGCTGCTAAATCGGGCACGACAGCAAACATGGGTCCTACAGCAAACATGGAAAGTAAGCTGAGAATGTTCATGACATATTTGAAACTACACAAGTCACTTCAATTAAGTTTCTCAAAGTGCATTCATTGGCTGAACATAATTATCGGTGAATCTCATTTGCTTTGCCCGTACAAGCACAAGAAATTGAGCATTGATCTCATTTTTTGCGAATGACATTAACTGTACTGTGCGGTACGGTTTGCACATGCTTTGCCTCTGTAGCTTTTGAGTCACTTCTGCAGTGTACACATGGTAAAGACAGTTTCTTTAGAAGAACATCATTTTGGGCGAGTTGGTGCACGACTTCGATGGGAATTCGTTGACATTCAATCGAAAAAACACAGGAGAAGGACAGGGTGAAGGGAACAACCGGCTATGTTCGTCCGATCGAATGTGCAACCATTCCCATCTACGGACAGTTGTACCATGAAACGTGCCTGTGTGAAAATTTTTTGCAAACAGTCGCTGTGTCTGTTCGAAATGTGGCATGCACGAATGGCATCCACATTCACTTCCATTTGTGCAGGAATGGATTGGGGCTGTACATAGACGAATCCTTGGAGAATGGTCGCACCGAGCGTTGCGATACTTTCAACAACAGCCCACTGGCCAGCAGTAATGACTTCGTTGTGCGCATTTTGGAGGTCATTGGCTTTGCCTGATTTTCCCTTTGGACCTTCAATTTTTAGCATCCCTAGTTGATGACCCGTGGCATTTTATCACTTTTGTTGCCATTGTAGTATTTCTTTTAATGATTGTTTTTTTGCTGTATGATCTGATCATGCGTGGCCACAATGTGCTATTTTAGCATCAAAACGTTAGTTGCTCAAGAGGTCTCATTGATATTGAGGCATCTCTCGTTAACGTCTTTAGTCCACCTTGAGTCAATGGCAGGCTCTTGGATGCTGCCTGTGATCGCCTGTTTGAGTCGTATTCTCATGTGTTCCTATTTATGCTACGTAGTGTGCATTTTGCTCAGATATATTGTCAGTGCATTCTCATTTTGCCTAGGTGTATGTAATAAAAAGGTGCACATTCCAAGAATGGGTTCTGACTACACAATCTATCATGCGTTTAAGCAGTAAAATGCTTGTGTAGTCCCCATAGTCTAATCCTGTGCATGTTTAATATACGGTGTTTGTGCGCAACACAAATCCTGAGTCTACAAACCTGTTATATATGTTCTACCTGCTTACAACAATAGACTGTGCCTTATTCGAAATAAGGAGACACAAAATCTGTAGTTCGGTGTATAGTATACTGTGCCATGTTTTATGGTATACTGTGCCATGCTTGACGTCTACTACATTGTGTTTGACGTGATGCTGGATATCGAAAAATGTGTACAATAAATTGTTTGCTTAACAATGAGCTCACTCGTACATTGCCTGCGTATTGTCATGTAGTAGTAACATTGATGAAGGCAGTGGTCGGTATGTCCAAGATGAGACTGTTTATTTGGCCGCACTTGTGGCCAAATCTGATAACGCAAATCTGATAACGGAAAATCTGATAACAGCACACTGACACTGATAAGGGCGAACAGAGGGTCGGCCGTTGATCAGCTGACAAGTGGAGAAGTGCATCATCATTTAGACATGTGGCGTCAAATATTCCAGCGTTATTGCTAACAGCCATGTACGCTTTATAAGAAACTGTACTGTTTGCGGTGTGCGCGTAATCACATCGGAAGGTTCTGAGATTATGTTGATAATTCTTGGTCATTTAATGCGGTTTGTGCAAGGCAGCACTTACAGTGTAAAGGGCCAAGACAAAACTCGAGGAAGGAATGTGGCAATATGTTACCAACCATGCAACAAAGCCTCATTGTTGCATCATTCTGTCTTCTAAGGTAAGCACTTATTGCCTGTCATTATATGAGGACATACAGCTGGATATTGTGGACAAACGATTCATTTTGACTAATCTTTCAAGGAAATTTCTCTAGTGCATGTTAACATAGTGATGAAACAGCACAAATGATGGGACGAATGGTATACACCCTTTAGCAAAGAAGTTCGTTGCTCTTTATCAAAGAAATTAGATACCTTGAGCTTCGAATGTAATCACCAAGCTTGTTGTCACAAGCTTTTTTGCATCCTTCTTGTTTTATTGTCTGCCATGACACTTTTCTAGTCTTGTTGTCACATGCTTGCAAACCTTTTTTTAGTTAGACCCTGGTTTTTATTGATTTATGAATGTCTAGTTTTAGAGATTTTAATCAGTTTCATATCAACTGTAGTGTGGTTGTTTTCTCGCCATTTTTTGCTCATGTTCACGAAGTCTACATTTTCTGCATTCTGTAAACCGTTGTCGAAATTTATAGAAATGCCCGTTGAATCGCTCAATAGCATTTATGCTGTTTTATCGATATTTGTTTGCCTTGCTATATATCTTCTCCACCTTTCCATTAAAGAAATCAGTCGATAGTCCGTACTGTGTTCTGCATATCTCTCGTCCTGTTATTTGCGCTGTTTTGCCACAATGTTCATGAACTGACTAGCCTACATAAAAACACTTGTATATTTTTGAAGTTCTATGAAAAGTTTGCCATGTGCCTACTCCAGACTTGGTCTAAACTGCATGTTTAATTATTGCCATGTCAAAGCATAGTGCTCAACTGCAACGTATTCAGGGTATTTACCACCAAGTAATGCGATTGTCTGGTAAAGAGAATGTATTTTATGGGATTGGCACATGCCTCAATTCTTTGAATACTTCCCTTGGGAATCCATGCACATTATTAATGGGGTAGCTGTACTCCCTAGGCAACCTGAAAGTCTTCAGCCACGACTTCTTTCACAGTCTCTGCAACAGCCTGTGCAAAGGTGAGAACATGGCCGATCGGCCTTCTTCCGAGGTTTGGGAACAGAGAGAAGACTGCTCGGCTTGCATCAAGGTTGCACGAGTACAGATTTGAGCTCAGCATTCTTCTTCATGCTATTGCTATCAACTCTGGGTGTGTTGGGAATCGCCATTGTACGCAATGTCAAGTGAAGAAAAAAAAAACAAGTTGCACGCAAGCTAATTGTTATGGTCATTTTCGAGCGAATAGCGGCATGCTTCCAAAATACATGACCAACATATTTAAAATGCATACTTGCATTGACCAATGTCTCTCATGCTTTAAGAAATACAGCATGCACACACACCATTGTATGTGTTTTATGTGTGCTGCAATATTATATTATATTTTTATATAATATTATATTATATATAATAATATTATATTTATTTATATATATTATATTTTTTTATGTTTAACCGACTAGCTTAACAACAAATTCTGATACAGCACATCTCATGTGCTTCCTTCCCAACTGAAGCGTCTTCCCTACACCCAGAAGTTCCTTCCAATGTGCCCACGCTTCACCTAACATATTGCTGTTGCATTGCCGGAAACATGAAGAAATGACAGGCGATACAGAGGAGCAGAATAACATGTCTAGCAAACATTAGCACCGAGGCAGAACAAGTTCATCTTCGGCGGGGCTTAAGGCAAACGCGTGCATACGGAGACGCAAGTAGCTCACGAAACAAGTGCCTGGCATATAATGCTAGATGCTCAGAATAGTAAAACTGATGCTGCGCACGGCTTTGCCCGCTAAAATACGGCGGAGAAATTTGACGATTCGTAGCTGTAGTAGCCGCCACGAATCGGGGTTTCGCAGACAGCAGCGAGTAATAAGAAACCGACAGGGGCGAACATACGCACGTTTATTTACACACTACAGGTACGCCAACTATTTTGTAGCACGCACACACACACATAGTTTCACTTGGGCGGCTGCTCGGTGGAAGACTTCTCGATGGGTACCTCCTTGGGTTCGGGCAGCGCGCGGGGAGCCTCGATGCACAGCGATCCGTCGGCGAGCAACAGGGATCGCACCGTGTCGGGGTCCACGTCTTCGGGCAGGGTCACCGAGTGCGAGAACTCGCGAACGTAGGTCGAGTTACCCTCCTTGACTTCGGAGCGGGCGCGCACGGTGAGCTGGTTGCCCGACAGGGACACCTTGACGTCCTCCGGTCTGAACTTGCTCACGTCCAGCTGCACCTGGAACTTGTCGCCCGCGCCGGACTCGACGGGCACGTCGCGCGCACGCAGCCAGCGGAAGGCCGGTCCGAACGCGCCCGATCGGTCGAGGTCGCGGAAAGTGCGCGACATCTCGTGCTCGAAGTGTCGCAGCTGCCGGTCCATCTCGCCGAACACATCCCCGATGGTGGCCGGGTAGCGTCTCCACAGGTTCCGTCGCGAACAGGCCATTACGGCACGCCGGCATGGCAGAGAAAACCTCGCGAACATCGGACTAGCCATCACGTACAACTCTCGGGCACGACGAACGATTGGAGACTCACTTTTATCACAACACCTACCAGCTTTAATGCTCCGATCGCTCTGGTGGAGTATTTATTCTTTGTTATTGTCACGTGGTTAGTCTTGACGTCATTGTTGTAAACGAATGAGAGCACTTCAAAACAAACGCACGATTGGCCACTAGCGTTGACGTCATCAATAACAAAACTAACACGAGGCGCGAAAATTCGAGTTGCTTCTAGAAATTTCGTGCAGAATGATGACAGAGTTGGTCCCTCTTGCGTATGCCGAAGCTCGACAGCGATCCGCCACTTCTGTGTGGAGTACTCATTTGTTTATGCCCATTCTCGCTTGCACAACAATTAAAATCGAACTCGCTGCTTATTTGTTGGGCGTTGCCACGAGCTAATAATGTATGCCAGACGAAGAAAGCGAGAAAATATGTGTAGGTGCATCTTGATATCGCTGTACACTGGTACAGCACAATACAAAGTAGAGCTGTTTCCATTCGTGCTTCGGCCATGTTACTCCTTCTAGCCACTGTAGCCATGTGCACTGACAATGACACATTTTTTGACACTATCTTTATCCGGGCGCGTTTACCTTCTTGAGACCTGTGGCAAGAATGTTAGAGTACTTTGAAGAAAGTTGTATATATCAACTTCAAGTGCAGATACGTAAGTGTAATTGGTGTTACGGTAGGCGTCCTACCTTTCATTTGCACCATATATATTTTAAGGTACTGAATGGCTGGTGACCAATGACACCGATCTGTGAGTTCGATTCACCTCCAACGCCACTGACGCGCGAGAACTGGCAATATAACAAAAAAATGAGGAAACATTATGCGCTCGCAATAAAGTATGTGCATTACGAATCCCCGAGCTGAATCTTTTACGGCAGCTATGTTTTACTCATGCAAGCCGTTAAAAGATAAAAATGCGTGCAAAACGCACGTGTATGTACAGTCCCGGTCAAATCTTTGTAATAGCTATCGTGCATGAGTAGTACTTTTTTTGTATATATATTGCGATACTACGACTGAATTAAGTTTCAGTTAAATTAAGGAGAAGTTAGGCGCATAGCCAGAAACTTTTTTCGAAGGGGGGGGGGGGGGGGGAGCACCTTTTTTGGTTTCGGGGAGGGCGCCTCTTGATGGTCTTTTTTTTTTTTTTTGCTATCTATGACATGGCGAAAAAACAAAAACTCGTGCCTGGTGGGCCACCCCCTGGCTATTCCCCTGGGACTAGTGTATGCCCATAAAGCACATGTCCACGAAGCAATTTTTTTGTGTTTCGTTATATGGCGTTGACAGACACAAAAGTGGCCGCTGCACACAATAGCTAAAGTTTTGGCCAACTGTATATACGTACGTTCAAATGTTCTTCCAATTAGTTTAATGATTAACATACCGTTGATCTTGGCCAGTCAATATTAAACCGTCACATAGCTCCGCCACCGTGGTCTAGTGGCTAAGATACTCGGCTGCTGACCCGCAGGTCGCGGGATCGAATCCCGGCTGCGGCGGCAGCATTACTGATGGAGGCTGATATGTAGGCCCGTGTGCTCAAATTTAGATGCATGTTAAAAAACCCTAGGTGGTAGAAATTTCCGGAGCCCTCCACCACGGCGTCTCTCACAATCATATGGTGGTTTTCGGACGTTAAACCCCACATATCAATCAATCAATGAAACCATCACATTTATTTTGCATGGTTTGTTTTGCACGAGCAAGTTCTTGGTTCGCCTCCCTGCCTTTCCTCTTCATTTCTCTCTTTCTACGCGCAAGTTCACTAAACAGCTTGTTTAACCACGTGTTGGCAATTGATCGATCTTCTGAGGTCCATTGGTCAGCACTGGCGTAGAGGGGCCCTCCCCCTTAATTTTTCACTTTCGCGTGTGTATACATGCACACATTCAAACGCACGCACGAAAATGCTAAAAGATTGTTGAACCCCACCAAGCCCGAACGCAGGGAGAAAAAAAAATTATAGCTACGCCCAGGGCCGGATCAACATTGCGGAGGGCCCGGTTCAAACAAAATAAGGGGGCCCCTCGTCCCGCCCCTTTTCCCACTTTGTCATCTGCATGCTCACGCTTGAGGCTTGACACTTTTTTGATTTAGCTGTAACACAAGCCATGATTATTCTAAGCTCTCCGAAGTGTTTAGTACCACCAGGCCGTTTTTTTTTTTTTTTGTGGAGCGCGTGGACAGATGGTCATTGTAATAATTATAACTATAACACGAGACGAAGACATATGCACAGTATTAAGATTTGTTTCGTTCATTGGATCATACTGAGAAAAGACTAAACTGTGTGAGAAGTTAAGACGAAAATAAGGAATTCATACGATTAGGATTATTACTCCTCAGAGTCGATCCTTGCATATTCAGGAATTTCAGCCCCATACTGCGTTGTTTACACTATAATATGGAAGCATAGTATAGCAACTTGCACGTCAGCTTCATACCGGTTATTTTCATTCAGCGCGTTGAACGACATTTCAAACAGGAACCACCCTCTGTACGTATTCGCCTTGCGTGTTGTACCGTAGCTGCTAAAATCCTCGTCTGTCCACTGCATCAACTCGATCCTTCTTTCTGCATGGTGCATGGTTTTCGGCAAGTAAAAGGTTTTTACCACAGACTGCAGATCTGAGAGCTGACTTTCAAATTATGCACGTTATGCAAAGGACAACCTAAGCAGCACCTCTATTGATTATTGAATAGATAATCCATTTTTATCAGAGTAATCCTGCAAAAGAATTAAACTTCTTTGAAGAAAACAACCATTTTTTTCAGGCCCTTATTTGGGGGGTGGGGGTAAAACTGAAGGGCCCGGTTAATTCATTTGAGCCCTTTGAACCCTGGATAATCCGCCCCTGGCTACGCCCTTGAAGGTGAGAGCTGGCACACACGCCGAGTTTAATTCCTCCACAAATTCTTTCAATTCCCACACTGCTGCTGCTAGCTGAACTCTCAAGCGAAGCTGACGGAGAAATCAACCAATGTCTTCGTCAGCTTTCTCGCTTTCTTTGCCGAAAATAATGCGCTAGCTGTTGCCAACTTGGACAAATCACGACCAGGCGCTACGATGATTGCGCGAAACGGCGCACTGGTGATCTTGAAGATGCCGTAAATTTTGGTTCATTTCGCACGAACTGGATGACGCAAACTTTCATCATCCTACATAGGGCACTTGATGGCATGCGATGGTTGACGGGGACAGTCTAGCGCTGTTTTAGGGGCGAAGCTCCTAGAGGTGTGGGTCTGTCCATCCCTTGTATGTATGTGCGTGACCTCCACACCTTTGCGAACTGCCCACTACTTCGTTATTGCAAAAATCCCACTACGCCCCATCACCGATCCACCACTTCACCAACCATAAAGCAAATACTGTCGAGAAGTAGTCAATATGAAATGCAACATGGTGGTGTACTCGTACGCTGCTACGCGTTAAAGTACCATAGATTGTCCAACTCTGTTCATCCCTTGTTTGAACGTGATCGCCTATACTTCAACCTTTGCAAACTGCCCACTACTTCATCCGTGCAAACATCCCACTACGCCCCATCACCGATCCACCACTGCACCGACCATAAAGCCGTTATAACTACTAACGAATAATAAAATTTTTTGTACAAATATATACAGTGTTTGTCACGTCTTTGATGATGTAGTGGGCGATATTCGCGGATGGTTCATGGTTTAGCGATGAAACTCTCCAGCGCTTTGCCCCACTCATCATAATTCACTCTGTGGATATGCTGCGATTTTTTTCCCGTCCTACATTTGTCATCGTACTTGTAGAAGATGTAGTACTGGCGTAAGCTCACTTTAACAATGCTACCGACTAGCTCACACCAATCTCACTAAAATTTCTTTGAGCAGACACACTTGCTTCAAGCCCTTCAGGTGTCACTTCCAATGGCACTACGGGTGTCTAAAACTAAGCATTATAATTTTTTTGTAAATTGAGCAAGAAGTTATGTTATATATTTATAACGTTAAATGTGTAATATTTTTGTACTGAAAAAAAAAAAAATCCGGAGTGTAGCGCCTTCACGAACGCCTCCTGGATTTTTTGTGCCTGCCGGACTATCGGCGTTCACTTAGAAAGCGGCAGTCGTCCGAACTATGACGGTGGCACAACTCAAGTAGTGTTGTCTTAAAATAGGTTTTTACGCTTTTAGAGCGTATATGCAACAAAAATAACGTAAAAAGCGTAAAATTAATTATAATTAACCCTACTTAAGTGACGTTGTCATTCAGCAAGCAACATTTTTAATACAAAGCAACCTCTAAAACTAGTAACAAATGCCAAAATTGCCAATCTTAAAGGCTAAGTACAAAGACCCTTATTCCTACGTAGGCAGCGCTGCCATAGATGACGGGCGTTTAGCGTTCATCCGGCAGGCACAAGAAATCTAGGAGGTGTTGTCTTCACAAACGTTTTCTTTAGGTGGATTGAGTCGAGCCTAGCCAAAGCCGTTCCTTTCGTCCATAAAGTTGTAAAAGGTGAGAAGCGCGTTTGATTTCTCATTGTACAAATGTCATATATGTCTGACTTAAACTATTCCTAGGCTAAAATAATTATGTAGGCGTATCGCTTAATATCTTAACTTAGCAAGATAAGCGCTAAACAGGTGTTTCCTATTTCTTATTGCACGGATTCATTCAGATCGCGTTGTGCCTCGTCGCTGTGAGCCCCTTAAGAAACGCTGTGTGCTGTCTATTGAGCCGCCTGCTTGCTCACGTGCCGGCACAATCGAGGAGTCGCTAGCTGTCTGAATATCAGGGCTGGTGTCAAAGAGTAATTCGGGCGTGTGCTGCATAGTGTAATATGCCCGTAGTCCGTTGAATCGGCGAGTACGTAAGTGACCATCGTGCGTGTGTGCAGTGCCAGACATGGCCAAGGAGAAGCCCGCCAAAGCGCCCGCTGTTTCCTCCAAAGTGGACAAGGTGGCTGCACCTGCAGAAGTCAAAGAGGGCGGCCGGAAAAGGCCGCTGTGCAGGTGAGCACTGTTTCTGCCCGTGTGTGGTGAACGATCAGGCTTGTGAGAAAACCGTCATGATGTGTGGGTTTCGTTTTTGTGGTCTGTTCGTCTTCCTCTGCCGCAGTTCGAAAGTATGTTTGATGTAACACATTGTGGTTTCTACAAAAGTGACTACTGCACACGACCGTCAAATCAACCTTCTGCAGTCACGTTGAATCCTCGATGTTTTGGGTTGTTGTGACACCTAAATCAGCAATAACACCAAAGTTCGTGAAAAGACAGATTTCTTACTTGCCCGAATACTCGTTTGTGCGCGCCCGGCATTCCACCAGAGCATGTTTCAAGTCAACATGTACATGAGTGTTGAGGGCTCCCTTAACTATGCTGTCCTTTTCCATTTGGATCTCTATAACGTTCACTTTGCTTTTATGCGCTCATTTAGGTCAGCACCACGGTGGCATGTGGTTGCCTTCAGTTGCAATAGAGAAGTCGTCACATCTTGATGTAGACATAGCTTGCATGTCACATTAGCTGGCTCATTTGTGGGGCGGCTGTACTGGTATGCCACTGGGGTGACCACCACCTCCTCTATGAATGTGTGCTCGTACCGAATCTCTTAACGGCAAAATGTGGCACTGCTTTCGAGGGTCGCATGTTCGAGTAGTTGCCAAAACAGTTATGGGGAACCTGCGCTGGAGTTTCCGCGGACATGGAGCGCCGCCTAGTCGAGCACGGCCGGAAATATTCGTGTGCACGAATATTAACGTAAACAATGCTGCTGTGCACGATGATCATACGAGGTTAAAGAAGCTTCCAGAGTCTGCGTTACTGTTGTATTCACGAATGCCACAACAACAAAATGTTTCAATGACACAAAAAATAATCCAGAGCATGCATAGTTGACTCCCTCCGGCATCGTTTCCAGGAATGCACAGGGGTTATTACAAGTTTTTTGAGTAAAACTTTCTTTGTAAACGTTCGAGAAAGCAGATGAAAACTTCAGTGGTGTAAGCGTCGCGCTGTATATTACATACATTGTATTGTAACGTGAGGAGTGACATTTCATTACGTTTAGGAAGAAAAAAAAAAGATAGAATTTCAATACTCCGTATGTGAGGGTCGACCTTAGTAGCAAAAATCTCAAAGAAAAAAAATTCGCGTCATATTCGTGTAAATACAGCATTATATTGGTCACTTGCGCAGTTCATGACCGGTTGCAAGGCAATAACTGCTAGAAAAGCCGTGATGATCTACGCATGTTGCATCGGACCACACACCGCACATCAACCATGGAACCACCACAAAGTCAATCCCCACCAGGTTGTTCAAATGCATTTTTCTTTTTTAAATATCAGGCTTAGATGCCGGCCAAACGCAAGCTTGCAAACAGTCTGTAGACGAATTGACTTGCACGACTGCTGCGACATGTTTGCATTTCTGCTAACACCACTAATCTCCGCTTCACACTGGCCTTTCAAGGGAAGGTTGCCTTAGATATTCATTTCACGATCCACTGTCAAGTTCGAGCACTTGAAGACCACGATATGAGCATTTTGTGGGTTTATGCTAGCCGTTGAATACACGATAAAGGAAAGAGGGTAGTGAAACAGCTTCTGTAATATATTGTGCAAGAGCTGCAACTACCAGCTACGTAAGTGTGACGTTCTCGCTCAAAATTACTGTCACCTGGCCAAATGCTACTTAAGTTTTGCCTGATAAACTACTAATTTTACTTTAAAGCGGGTGCATAACCAGCAAACTGTACACTACAGCGAGCTTCGCAAGTGCTATTTGAACACACTTACCTGTAAGTTTACGCTGTAAAATGCAGTCGAAAATTAACACTGTTTCTTCAGTGTCGTAGATGTACTTAACGTCGAACAGCGTCCATCCTTTCGACAACACAGTCTCGTGAAAGTATCCGACACATAGTGAAACTGTAGTGGAGAACAATCGCTGGCATTGCTGCTCGCCCGCTGTGTCGCAGTTTTCAGCGAAGTGTCCAATTCTTCGCTGGTCTTGCACGTTCTAAAGTACCTACAACACGACGCACACCGGACAAAGCCGGGGTAGTGCCACACGGTGTTCACCGTGTCAGTGATAGAAGTGCTGCTGCAATTGCTCCAAACTGCCCCAAAAGAGAAATGCTGCTCCAAAGTGCAATATTTGGTAGTAACTGCGCCAAACCTGCCCTAAAACGGTGTTGGCAAACAAAAAGAAAGAAGTTGAACCATGGGACCATCCCGTGAGCATAAGCGAAACCAAAAGTAAACTGTATACACTGTCGTTCTGGTATGCTACACCGTGGTGTAAGTCCAGAAAAATCTCAAGGGGTGACACATATCAGGCCATGGTGTCCAATTCGTATTTTTAATACCGGTTAAACTTTTTATCTATATAGGAATTGAATCATGCTTTCAGATGAAATTTTAAAAAATGAGCATGGGGTCCGAGCTCGAGCAGTTGCATTGTTCTATTCAGTCTCTTTTCCTCACATTTTTTTTTATTTCGATAGTTTACACAGGTGAGGGGCATTTAACACAGGTGTGCATTAAAAAGATAAAAAGCCTTTTAAAAAGTTGATTGCGCAATAGGGAGCTTGCATGAACGGCGGCGACGTTGTGCACTCTGGGTAGGCATCCATTTTTTTGTCAGAGGCGGCTGGCGAGTGCAGCAGCGCAGTCGTGTTTGCGTAGCTTGCAGGCGTGATCGAGTGCAAGCGCGATGCAAATGTAACTCCAAGAAGTGTCGTGCACGATGTCAGCCTCACCGGAAGACTACACCGCAGCGCTGTGCCAGAAAGACCTTAGGCGGTACGAAAAAGAGACGACAATCAGCTCCGAGTGGACTTGTTCACGCTTCATGCAGGCGGCTGTGTGACGTGGATTTGTGGCTGCATGTCGACAGCTCCGATATTCATGAATTTCTCATTCCGAGGACGAGTTTGATTACCCAGGAGCTGTGAAGTCCAGAAAGGCCCTCGAGGGTCACATCATTGTGAAGAGTGGCCGAGCGCGGGAGCTGTGGGTGAAGAAAGTCGCCGCCGACACCGTGGTCGTTGTCACTCCAGTAAGACTTGTTCAAAAATTGAGGAGCGCTCTTCTCGTGCACACGCAACATAGTCCACGTAGAATAGCAACGCAGTAGGATGCGAGCAGGCTTCGCTGTTACTGGCCATGCATGTGTATTGCACGCCAAGGATTTCGCCATCACTCTTGCCCATGAACAAGATGTCGATGGGGGTTGTTAACACACTGGGAGTTTAACCTGAACAGAAGCAAACATTAGCATCTACGGCAAAATCAAGTAACCTAACACCTCTTACTTGAGTGACAATGATGAAGGTGTCAGCAGCGAATTTCTTCACCCACCGCTCCCACAACCAGCCATTTGTCACAAGGTTGTGGCCATTGATTGCCTTTCGACTTCAACAGCTCCCGGGTAATCAAACTCGTCCTTGGAACAAGAAATTCATGAATAACCGTGCTGTCGACGCGCAGCCACAAGTTCACGTCACTTACACGGCCGCCCGCATGAAATGTGAACGGGTCTACTCTGAGCTGATTCTCGTCTGTTCTTCGCACCGCTCGAGGTCTTTGTGGCACAGCGTTGCGGTGTAGTCTTCCGGTGAAGCTGACATCGTGCACAACACTTGGAGTTAAATTTGCATCGCGCTCGCACTCAATCACGAGTTCGCTGCTGCACTCCCCGGCCGCTTTTGACAAAGAAATGGCTGCCTACCCAGAGTGCATAGCATCGCCGCCGTTCATGCAAGCTTCCTTAACTCAAACATATCACATCCTAAAGTTAAATCTCAAGAGGGACACTTGAGGGGGCTGTCCACCACAGCCTGAACACCAGAAAAGTCCAGACTCTCTTGACCCCCCCCCCCCCCCTCCACGCCCATGATTCACGCCAACTATACTGCTTGTATACTACAGTCGAACCTCGATATATCGGACGGCGCGGCGATCACGAAATAGTTCGATATATCCAGAATTCAATATAAAAAAATCACGAAAAAAATGCGTCAACAGCTTGCTGAAAACAACCAACGAACCGTTCAAGCGTGGTGCAGTAAATACTCACTTGAATATTCAAACATAGTATTTATTGGGTTGGTTTAAAATATTTAAAAAGAGTAGCCTGCTTTTTGTTGGCCATGGCGTGTTTGACGACTGCGTCCTCAATATAGTCCAGGCGATCCATAAGTGATAGGCCGGTGCCTTCAATCGCGCCGCAGTGGCAGCGCACAAGGGCCAAGGCAGCTACGACCTCAGCTGATGTCGAGAACGGGGCACTATCAGCGCTTGCGGGATCCACCTCGGCAGAGTCTTCATTTGGCTGCTCAGCAGTGGCTTCGGCGACAATCTCCACATCCGTGAGCTCCGTCGTTCGGAGTTAGGCTCGTCGGCAGGATTTCAAGCTGGACGGTTGTGCCCTCGCGATCTCCGACGCCAGCGTAGCTCCCGCCGACTGGTTCGCCCTCCGCGGTCTCCTGACGCCGTGCAGCTCTCGCATTGTGGCGCCCCGCCCTTGGACAGCGCGCGACAGGCCCAACTCCAAACACACGAACACTGCGAGCACCACGACCGATGCCTGCCCATGCTACGGGGGAGGAGCTTGCAACAAGTGGTGGGGGTAGTGGTTGTAAGGAAGAAGAAAAAGGCACCTAATTTCTGTCTGCCTTCAGGCGACACGGCGCAGCGCCTTATAGGGGTGGGGGGAAAGAGGGATAAAAAGAATAGAAGGAAATAGATGAAGAAATAGACAGGCAAGCCACGGAAAAAAGAAGGAGATAGGAAAGTGGGGATCCGGTCGAAGCAGTCCAAGGGCGGGGCGCCACAATGCGAGAGCTGCACGGCGTCGGGAGACCGCGGAGGGCGAACCAGTCGGCGGGAGCTACGCTGGCGTCGGAGATCGCGAGGGCACAACCGTCCAGCTTGAAATCCTGTGAGCGAATCCTCCCAACAAGTGCGCAGTGTGCCGTTGACACCATAGAGACTGCAACGACTGCAAGCTGCAAGGCTGAGGCGCGCGTACGCCGCTACTTCAAAAGTGGCGCTCTCGGCGCCATCGATGTGTGCAGCATTCGTAAACGCCCGCCGCTCTACCGCTACTTTTGAGAGTTGCGGGAAAGCTCGCCGCCTGTCAATGGAGCGCGGGCGGTTTGGAGCGGCTGCGTTCGATATATCCATTATATGTCAAACTTTGTTCGAAATAAAAAATCAATAATGCATGCGATTTCCCGCGTGATATAGGAACCGTTCGATATAGGCAATAATTCGATATAGGCAATAATTCGATATATCTGTGTTCGATATATTGATGTTTGACTGTAGCTGCATACTAGCATACGGCATGTTTACTAATAAATATAAATATTTATTAGGTGCTCAAGTGGTGTTTTAGACTTCAGTAGTAGTTCGGAACATGCGTCTGCTCCGAAAACACCAATAGCAACCCTAAGCTATACCATTTTTTTTCTGCTCCGAAAACGCTTGAGCTTGCTCCAAAGCACCATTTTTTTTGCTCCAGAAGAATCTGCTCCAAAAAGCAAAATGTCGCTTCCATCACTGCCGTGTGTTACAGAATGCGCGGTGTGTACGAGGGCACATCAAAACGTGCCCGTAGTACGCCTAAACTTAATTTGACGTACGACACCATATGTGTCACGAGTGGGATATTTTGAAAAGATCCCAGTGACTTTAAGAGTACAGAGTAGTCTGTGGCTAGGAATCAAACCAATTGCAATAAATAAATTACAAAAAAAAGACCCTTTCGTGCATTACAACATGTACTAACGCTGCTTGTCAGTTTCTGTTGGACTTATGGAAAAATGAACCACTTGGCGTTATTATGGGGTTCGAAAGTTTAGTTTTCATGAACTGCACTTTGCTCATGCGGTGGCATCTCAGTGGTAATTTCGGTATTGCATACTGCTGCCTGTACGTTGCATGCACACAGTCGATGCGATGGAAAGTTCGACAAAACGGACCATTCATGTGATGTTTACGTATGTCCGAATGGTGTACGTCACTTCAAGCTATGCAGTAAAAGCAGACAACGTTGGGCCAGGCAACTGCTACGTCAGAAGGCCCGTTCAGGCGGGGGGATTCGAAGTGCACTAATGTTGTGCGGACTGCTACAACGTAATTTTATTTTAAAACAAGCATCTCATTGGTGCGAAAGAAACCCTACGAGATTTCTGGATCACTATACACAACTTGCAGGACAGGTTTGTTCCTGTTTGCGCTGTGTTAACCTTCGTGCGGCAGATCGTTTGCCTTGGGCTTATGAAGAAGAATTGTTCAGGAAATTACGCAGCCAGCAGCTTTGCTTGGGGAACACGGATCCTGTGGTTTCCTAGTTCATGGTGTTGTATGTAATGGGTGAAACAACTTTGCACGAGATTTGAAAAGACAACTTGCTTGTTATGGAGTGGCACCTGCCCACATGTATGTTCAATGTCTTGAGGTCCATCCTGCTTTAGCACTCGGAAATAGGGTGCTCCGCTTTTCGGACAGCTCTTTTGTGCAGTCCCATGGGTTTGTGATCACCTTTGGCGTACAGTACATCCCCGCTTCTGGTCCTTTTTTATCTCGTACTTCTCATGCGCCAGTCAAATATTGCAGAAATTGCCATTGCGACATTAATACGACACCGATAAGAAATGCGAGGGCCACACAGCTTTACTCGTTTGCTGCCATGTGCTCAGTGATAGTGGTGCATGCAAAGATCGTATCCCAGAGTTTTGCGGTGTGACGTACTTGCAAGTTGTGTATTTCAGCAATCAACGTCGTCTTTATATTTGCCTTTAGTTTCTCTTTAAACATACGTGTTGACAGCTGTATTGGCATGATATTCATATGGGATCTTTTTTTCAAACAGTTTGAAGCTGTGTTGCAGAATACTTGAGGGCCATGCAGAATGCCTTGACTCGCTCTCTGCTTGAGCTGGGATGTTTATTCTTCGTTTTCATTGATTTAACTTATCGACAAATTTTTTGTGACACAGGCTTCTTTACACTGTGTTGCTTAGTAGGCAGAATTTTTTAAAATTAATTAATCGAAATTATGTGAGAAGCCTATTGCTTGTTAAGCACTTGACTGCATCCGCGAGGACCACTAGCGTCAGGGTCGGCATATTGAAGGTCTGCACTCTTGCTGCATGCGCTGGGTCTGACATCCGTATGGTGCGACTTTATGAGTAGAGACCTCTTGAATACCTGTACGAACAGCGCAGACATGTTGCATGAACAGACCTTCAAAATGGTGGGGCCATGGTGTTGCCACCTTGTGTGTCAGTGCATACCCTCTATGGTTTTGTGGTCGTTCTCCTGACACTTGTGGTTATAGTTTATCATTTTGTGAAGTTGACTGCTCATTGCTAACACTAAAAGCGAACAGTTGTGTTGACTAGAAAGGAAATGCCTTCTTGATGCATCACACTGCTTCATTATAATTTTGATTCCTTGTGTGGGTTGCGCACGTGTGCTACAGACTCACTACTGTGATGTGCTGTTTGCAGGTTGTACTGCAAGGCAGTGTTTGTTGGTTACCGGAGGGGCCTGCGCAACCAGCATGAGCACACATCCCTGCTCAAAATTGAAGGTGTTGATGCACGCCGAGACACAGGATTCTACCTGGGCAAGCGTGCTGTCTTCGTCTACACGGCGAAGAAGTGAGTGCTTCACTGCCATAGAGCATGGAGCTCCATTTATTGTGTTGTTACTTGTAGCAGCTGTACATTTGACGTTCCCATAACCATGGTTGAGCTGAAAGGACTACATTTCATATGAATACCTCAGAATTGTGCCAAATCTGCTCCAAAACGCTGATTTGAGTACATCTGCCGAGGATTCGTACTCAGCCCTGTGTTAGAGGAAAGTTGCAGCAAGTGAAAAACTGCCAGCATTTTCCTTCTTTGCGTACAGTACAACTTTCAGGGGACCATGCAAGACCGTTGTATAATCAGGGTTTCATATACAGCCAAACTAGCAACATCGAAACCCACGGGGTGCGGAAAGAGTTTGCTTGTAGGGAAATCCAAAAAAAGATATAGCTGGCCCGAGCTAGCAAAACAAAGCAACTTTTTTTATTAGCAAAATTCAAAAAGTGTTGCCTGTTTCCTTTTCTTTCTCAGCAATGTTGTAAAGCAATTCTCGTACATTCATAGTAACGCCATGTTAAAAAGCGTGCTGAAATAATTATTTCCACGTACTAACCAAAGAGGCACTCTAACGCTAGCAGCTATCCACCGTCAACAAGGCATCACATGACGCAGAAGTGCAGGTGTAATGTCGAATGGTGATTTACTCTATGCTATTTTTATCTACTAGTCGTAGCTAGCTTATTTCTCGGGTTTATAACACAAAAGTCGGTTGCTCTTACCAGCGACCACGTTGGCCTAGTGAGAAAAGAACAAAAAGCATTGGTATTGAAAAAGGCATCATTCTGCAATTGAACCCAGTGTGGCAGTGTGGACAATTGAGCGACTGAGCTTTGTCTTCGAATTATCTGGGGCTAAAAAGCAAGCCAGTGGCATAAGTGGGGTAGTCTCATCAAGCAGTGGTGGCCCCCATACTTGGTCAACAGCGGTGATTTCTAATGGTGCTAATATGTAATTTAGACTATCTTTGTTTTAATTAAAATATGCATCGAAATGTTCAAGATTGTGTTTACTGCATGGCATTAAATATCTGAGCCCAGAATTGCACCGTCAAATTTTCTTGATGGGGATGTGCAAAATAAAATACAGTAAAACCTCATTAATTTGAAGTCACTGGGACCTTGAGAAATCTTCGAATTAAGCAGGTTTTCGAATTAACAGAACATACAAAGTGGGGAACGAAAGCAACTTGGAATTTATTCAAATTAATCAGAGCTGGTCTTTTGCTGTGCTGGCTAGTTTGTGGCTCCAAGGATTATGTTTTCCAGCAATACCTGGTCACTGTTTTGCCGCAAACAAAGAGGAATTCCAGGCTTTACTGCTGTCACGGAGAAAAAAAAAACTGAATTGCACGTTAGCGAAAAAAAAGACATCTTCACTGCAGTACAGTAGTGACATGCGGGCAGCATGTCACCTGCTCCTTTCTGCGTCAGCACGTCATGATGCAACCATTCGCCCATTCTTTCTCATAAAATGAAGAATTTGATAATAGACAGTGTGATGAAATTCGCGATGTGTTTGGGCTGGAAAATATCGCCGTTGAAGTTTTCGACCCTAGTTTTCGAAGTAGGCGTTGCAGGCAAGAACTCCGCCAGCTGTGCAAGTGTGCGAATTGCTGGAGCAACCGGCACTTAGAGGTACACATACATCGTGGATTTCTCCAGACGGTCCTTGGTTAATTTTTTTTAAGTTCTCAGAAAGAATGGATAAATCTTCATATTGCTGTATTGCAGTGAAGCACGTCTTGTTTTCCACAGGCGCATATTTCAGTAGATCACGAGACCGTTTTTTTTTATAATTTCATTTTTCATGCTGGAAGTAGTGGGACTGAAGTTCTTCAGCCAGCACTCAATATCGCTAAAGTACATTGCCTAGTGGCTTTAAGGGCTGTCGTTTCCGCAGATTTGCAGCGAAATCTAGCATCGGCCTACTGCACCCAAGGTTTTTGAATTAACCGGACTTGTGCTGACCGCCGCTTCAAACTATCTGCTCAAACACACATTACAAAATACAGGACCCTGAAAATACTTAGAAATAAGTGGGATTTCGAAATAACTGAGTTCGAATTAATGAGGTTTTACTGTATTTATGCATTGACTCCAGTAGACTGCTGACGGGGAACCGAGAATTTTTCGTTGTACCGGAAATTTTGTTGAAGTAATGTTTGTTGTAGCAGTGTTCGACTGTAATCAGTAAACTAAAAATATAGGCAGTGACACTCAGCCTTGCTGAATGAAGGGGTTCAGACCGCCTGGATAAGCCGACAGCACGACCTTGTGCATGTAAAATCGATTAAAGTATTTTTGCGAATGGCACTTAATGGCAGCTCAAGGAGGTGTTCGCAAATCTTTATTGTCAACTTTGAAAAACCAAATACAATGTGCATTTTTTTCCTGATACGTCGAGCCCTAAAATTGCCTGTTCATGAAAACAAAAGCGAAACTGCATTGACAACAGGCTCCCGTCGGAGTAGCCAGCTGCAGTGTCATCGGAAGTGCTGCTACATGCTGCTCTAAATTGTGTTTTTTATTAGTAACCGGTTCCCAAATGGCACTGTCAAAATGAAGACGAGCAGTGAAGATGACCCACTTGCAAGCCCTAAAGAAACTGAAAAGAATTTGTACAATTCTAGCATGTTAATACGCAACTTTGTTGGCTCGTGTTTATGCAACAATAATTGTCATATTAAGCTTGCAAATCATTTAGCTACATTCAAATTTACATCCAATCCATATTGTTGATGCGTAGAAATGATCGAGATTTTGTTTTAAATATATAGCTCACATTACGGGCATTGATAAACAACCTAATCATTTGTTTTTTTTTTGCAGTTTACGTTGATTGTAGGCTGTAAAACATCTTTCATATAAAGTTGCCATTGGCCATACCATGCTGAATGCGCCAGTTCTCGTCTTTCATATAAAGTAGTAATATATTTATGCAATACTTCAGTGATGCTTCATATTCTTGGAGTTGTATGGCAGATATGCTCTAAACACCAATAGCTTCTGTAAACTAGCATGTTCTCTGCTATGGAAACCCTTGTGGCTGCTCGACAATGGTACTTCCTTGCTCATAAAAGTAAAAGGACGCTTCCATCAGTGCATTGCCATCACAATGATTGGAGCGTGAGTTTGTGTTGGTTGCCTTTATCCGTGGCAGCTGTGCACATTGTGATTTGTTGCTGGTGATTGCAGCTCGTGATTTTCTGCCATTACCGCATTTACTCGCGTAATGAATGCACTTGCATACCGTAATTACTCGAATCTGACGCGCACCTTTTTTTCGATTAAGCGAGTTCATAAATCGCATGTGTGTTATAATAGAGTACGAAAAAAAAAATGAATACGGTCATTCTATTGCCATCGGCATTTCCAAAATGGCCGCCCCCTTCGTGCGTCGGCATGGCACGTCGGCCATTTCTGCCTGTGTGTTTCCCATGTGCGGCACTTCGTACGTGTACTGAGGAGTTCGTCATCTTGTAGTGCATTAGCATCGACGGCATGGAAGGGCCGACTCCAAAAACTCGAGTGCACCACGATGCCGCTTTTAAAAGAAAAGTCATCGCGTGTGCAGAAACAGACGGAAATCGGGTCGCATCGCGGTCTTTCGGAGTTCCCGAAACGTGCTTGCGGGACTGGCAAAAACAAAAGCAGAAGATTGTCGACAGAAAAGATTCACGCAAAGGCTTCAGTGGACCACAGCAGGGTCGGTTTCCGCAAATTGAAGAGCTGCTCGCCAAGTATGTGCTTGAGCAGCGAGCGGCGCAGTGGCCCGTGACGACAGAACTGCTCCAAGTGCGGGCTATGCAATTAGCTTTGGAAAAAGGGCTAATGCGGAGCCAGTTTAAAGCGAGCAGGTGCTGGCTAACTAACTTTATGAAGAGGAAAGGCTTTTCCCTCCGAAGGTGAACGGGCATCTGCGAAAAGTTTTGCGGAGAAGTGCGATGAAAAGCTGCACAGTTTTCAGAAGTTCATCCTAAACTTGTGACACAACAACGGCTACCTGCTTGGGCAGATCGGGAATGCCGATTAGACGCCTGTTTACTTCGACATGCCTGGCACCACTACTTTCGAGAAGAAGGGGGCGAAGCAAGTTCGCGTGCTGACATCGGTCCACGGTAAAACTACAGTGACGGAAATGCTCTGTTACACATCAATGTGGGCACGAGCTTCCCCCGTACCTCATATTTAAATGGAAGACGCTCCCGAAAGGAGTCCTTTTTTCGAGTGGTGTGATCGCGCGGGCCAGCGAGAAAAATGGGTGTGCGTTGCAATTGATGTCTTACTTTTTTTTTTTTCGTCGTGGAAATCGGGTGCGCGTTACAATTGAGGGCGCGGTAGAATCGAGTAAATACGGTAATACATGCACCTGCAATTTCGGTCGTCAAAATTTGGATTTTTTTCCCTGCATAATAAACGCACCCCCCTACATTCATTTGCTGCAATCCCACTAACCGACACCTGCCGTCTCCTTGCCCATTGGATCTCTTCCTTGGTCACCTCGGCTTGCTCACTTCACCCTTTATTTCCTGCCGCTCACCGTATCATATTTGTTTTTATCAGTGCGCAACAGGTCACAAACGGTACAAGTGTAGAGGCATTGCGCTGACAAGCACACAGCGAGCAAAGATCATGAAACTGTCCGTGCCAAAGAATAAGGCCCAACCACATTTACACGATTTTCGAGCGACAACGACAAGATTTGCTGTCGCTATGGCTGTCTCAAAGGGTCATTCCTCGCCATCGTGTCGCAGGTTTCTGGAAAACCAAAAAAAATCATTGTAGCTAGTAACCGACATTGCAGCAAGCTACCACCGAAGCACCAAAAATAACCGTGAATAACAGGATTAAAGAAGGACGGCCGTCGCTTCACTGTCCACATAAGTTGCTGTAGAAAAGAAAGCCTATATCTTGCGTTCCTTGAAGTACGCACAGATAACAAGCAGGAAGAGCAAGTTGCAACCGAAGTACCAACAGAGCCTGGCCGCCACGAGAATTGGAGGTGCTGCCATTTTGTGGAAATAATCACCATCTTTTCTTGTGATTATTTCCACAACAATGGCAGCACCTCTGATTCTGGCACAACATGGCACCCTCGAGATCACAGCAGGTACCATTGTTGGGGTTAAACAATTGCGAGAAAACATTGCCGCGAAACACTTTTATGGTGTGCGTGGGCACAGCTTGCAGAAGATAGTGCCATTAACCACCGAAGATGAGTGAAGTGCAACAGAGAAGCAGTTTCCAAACAATGTATACACGTATGTCAATTGCGAAAGGCTAAGTGACTTAACTTTTTTTGTAGTACGGCAGTTTTTGCGCTTCCCAAAAATGTTATTAAATTTCCCTGCATAATAAACGCACCCCCAACTTTGCTCCGATTTTTCTAGAAAAAAGCGCGTTCATTACGCAAGCAAATATGGTATTATGAATGTTCACTTCAAGTGAAGGTTAGTTTGCATGGTGAAAATAGCCGCATTGCATTCTGTGTGCTGAGCACATGTGCCCGCAAAGGGCACAGACAAAGGCAGATCAGCTGTATTTCGACCAGGAAGTTTTTCCATGGACCAAAAATGTTGAAGTATCCAGACCTTTTTTGACCAGCTGTAGCCACTCCATGTGAATAGAGCTTGTCTAGATAATTACCCAGAATATTCACACAATCTAGATGTACCTAGACAGTAGTGTATGAACTGCCAGGAGAATAAATTTTTCATTCACTTTCTACTTTCCTTACAGTCAACATAGTGTAACACAACCTCTTATTTTGGAGTCGGGAATATTTGGTTCACATTTGATTTGAGTAAAGCTGGTTTTTATTTCTATCAGGCGGAATCGGAAAGTTGTCGTAAGATGTAGGATTGGACTAATATTGTGTCATTTAACCAAGGTTTTTAATGTATTATCTCTGAAAGGCAAAGAAGACAACCACCCGTTTGTAGCATGAAGCCACAAGGAAATTCATACAGATTTTTCAGAAAGAAAGTCTCTTAGTTGTAGAAAATTTTGTCCTGGTCCGCCACCTTGCGGGTTTCCCCAGAACTCATTTGCAATATATTATCTCTATGGTGTTTTTTTGCTGGGAACAAACGAATTAGTCATAAAATGTGTGTTGTTGCAAAACTGGAGGTTGTAGAATTAAAGTTCCACTGTACTTGCACCATGATCGCTCATATTTTCTTTTTTAAATTGACCAAAATTTTGGGGTGCGGTTACATGGTATAAGAATGCTGTGACACATTGTTGTGAAAAATATGGCTGATGTTATTCGATGTAAAAGAGAAAACTGGTAGCAGTGGTTTAATGTGTTTGCACATTAGTGTATAGTGTTGACAAGCCATTTATCACAATTGAACACTTGTGAGGGAGTAATCATGTGTAGTGTGAGTGCAAGGGAACGAGGGCATGATGTAAACCACATAACACTTTGCCTATCACAACCTTGCAACAGTGAACTCTGCTGAGACAGTGACATGGGTGCTAGCACTGCATGGTTTGTCACAGCCCTGCTTGGCAGACATTCGCTTGGAGCTGCTGTTCTTCGTTTACACAAGGTGTCATGGCTGTTGTCGGGTTTGCTTTCTTTTTATTCATATGCAGGAAATAACTGGCTATGATACTGAAGAAAGCATACAGGAAATTACTTGTTCTTTTGATTGAAATCTCAAAGTATTACGGAAAGATTCAGCAGAATCGATGAAAAGACATGTTGCTACTGGGAGCCAAACATTTTGATTAGACCGTATGTTCTCCATTTACTCAATTCTAGGCCGACATTTTAAATTTTTTTTTCTTATAGTGGCCTTGCGGCAAAAATTGAAGCGTGTTGTTTTCATCACTTTTTGTCGGCTGTGGAATGCACAGGTTTGGTTGTATGACTGGCAACGGCTAAAATAATGCTGTTGTAATTTTACTTTCACAGAGAAACCACGCTGTTTTGAGACTAAAGTGTAACGCAGTGGCTAATTTTGTAATCGAAAGTGACGCTGCACCATGTGGGAGCGACTGCATAGGCCGTACATTTAGATTGGTGTGATGTGACAACTCACGTGTAATACTGTACGTTCTCAGATAGGCCGCACTCTTATGCACTATAAATTATAAAAGCACTGTTTATACTTCCTCAGATTTAAAAAAGTGGGATTTCTGTCTTAAAGAAAATATGAAAATGTGAAAACAATTGCGAAACGACGCCAGGAACGCTGCACAACAGCCACCACGAGGAGAGCCGTTCGATATGTCTTTAAGAGGCGCGCTGTGATTGGGAACAGCCTTTGACATTAGTGGGAGAGTGCATTGCGAAAGGAAATTAATGTTCGTTCTGGTCGTCAGCTGGGTTTTTGGAAGTTTGAAGGCTAATAACTTCTGTTACCGTACATATCATTGCGGTCATTCTTTTTGCGTTCATCTCGGCATTCAGCATTACATAAACTTCATCGTTGTAAAATGCTGACGAAAAAGCGTCAAAGGGCCTCTTTAAGTACAAAATTCTAGGTTTGGCTTATGTCGGTATTTAAGTAAAAGTGCTTGCTTGTGATCGAACACACACACAGAACTTGATTGGGTCCCGAGGAACGCTACTCCTTTAGAGCATTGTCGCAGGCCGCTCACATGGGGGAATAGGATGCTGCGCACAGAACAAACACTATTGTGACAGCTAGTAGTCATACCTGTAGTTGACGAGGGGTGCTGCTGGCTGTTATCATTGTTACCTGTGCAGTGTCTGCGGAGATGCATTCTGTGATCATCGCGAAGCAAAAGGTTGTACGTTAGATTCCCAATCAGGATGGTTTATTTTTATATATTTTTTCTTTTTCGTTCATTAACAGGCATTTTACTAATGTCATATCTATTGCGGAAATATCTCATTGAAGTCTTACTCATGTTAAAAATGATTCTGGTTGGGTGATACATTTGCTGCGGCATGTTAAGGTGTTTAACCGATTCACAATGCAGCAGTGGTGAAACTGCCCATGTATCATTTATTCATTTTTTTCGGTGTGCCCTCTGCTGCTTTGGTGGGGTCCGCAACGACTGGTATCGCCAGAATGACAGCCACTAAGATCAAGAGGCATTTCATAACTTTGCATTTTGAGAAGGGGGCATGTTCCATGGCATCTTGATGAAGGTGGATATTAGGCCGCTTGTGGTCCTTTGTGCCATTGTGCTCCGAAGTGGCATGTAAGTAAAACATTGGAGGGGCCTTACTTGAAGTAAACTGAAAATCTGAAGTGCATTATGATCATTGAGGTAAACCAAGCTGCCAGGCATAACCATGGATAGGACTAATGCTATCTGTCTCTCTCCCTCTCAGATTCTTTGTACTGCTCATACCACAGTAGCACAAAGCTTGTCCAAGGGTTGTTTTGAATGCAGAAGTGGCGTCAAAAAGTGTTTTGTTGGACATTGGCTCATATAGTTGTTGACTTTAGAAATACTTTGGAGTGCACATACTAAGTTGCTGGTTAGGAGAAAGAAAGAGGGGAAGGCAAAAATTGGAGAAGAGTAAATTGCTAATATAGGGAGGTTTTTTGTTGTAACTGCATCTGACTGAGTAGTTCCTGTGAGATATGTTTTTTGCTTGTTGGAAACAAAGTGTGCATAAGTTACAAATATGAATGCCAAAATCAGTTTTATTCGTTCTATGCTGTCTGAAAAATTTGTGAAATCAGATTTGCTGCCTTGAAAAGGGCGACTTATACTTTTTCTGTACGTAATACTGTACATTATGAATTCATGTTTTGTTTTCTCAATCACCTGAACGAATCCTGCGGAATGTCCTTTGGATTGTGTTTGTATAGTGAGGTCCGTTAGAACTTATGAACTGTGTGTTTGTGGCATAAGCAGGGACCAATCTAGAGCTTGATTACTGTATCGTGTGCAGAATATATCCTGCAAGAGAGCCTGAGTATTGTGAGCGCACGTAGAGAGTTTTCTTCTCTACAATTTCAGCAAGACGCGGGTGCCTGGTCGCAAGAAGCAGTACTCCAAAGTGCGGGCCATCTGGGGCAAGGTGACGCGTGCTCACGGCAACAGCGGCATCGTGCGTGCCAAGTTCAGGAGCAACCTCCCCGCAGCCGCCATGGGACGGCGGGTACGCATCATGCTCTATCCGTCTCGCATCTAGGAGACAATAAAAAAGTGATTATCACACCTTGTCGCATTGTTCTTGCATTATGGAAGGCCAGTCCACTAGACCACTCTTGGAACATGCCCTGGCGACATGTGAAAGCAAGCTGCCCTTTAGCACACTGATGTTCCATACTACGTCTAAGAATTCCCATTCAGAGACATGAAAATTCCCTATTTTGGGGATTTTTCCCTGCGAACATTGACGAAATTCTCAGCATATTTGCCTGCACAGGAGTACTAATGTCCACCTACATTCACGCACACGCATACCATATTTACATGTGTCTGACGTACCGGCGACTTTTGAAATCATGACGAGCCCCTCCACTGCCACACAACAAAGGCATGACTTTATTAATTTATACTGTTAGTACACTGCACACTGTGGGCTTCAAGTCTAACAGCAATAGTGAACTAGAAATCGCCCCACGTAAATATCAAACAAATCTCAAGGGCTATGCTTGCATGGTGCATGCACCAGAATAGCTTACAGCAGATGAAGGTGCACTGTGACCGCCAATTATCGGTTGTCATAGGAGAATTTAGCCATTCCTGAAATTCCCTGATTGACATCTGGGGTTTAACGTCCAAAACCACCATATGATTATGAGAGATACCATAGTGGAGGGCTCCGGAAATTTCGACCACCTTATTAAACGTGCACCCAAATCTGAGCACACGGGCCTACAGCATTTCTGCCTCCATTGGAAATGTGAAATTCCCTGTAATATCACAAAGATTCCTTTTGGCTCTAAATGACTGGCGAAAATTCCCTGCACGGAACATCACTGTTGCTCTAGCACTGTCGCAAATGTTATTTCGTTAAGCCAACTTCCGGCCAACCATAGGTCGGAAGCGCTTGTCCCTGTCGTTCTGTCCGCGTCTAAGCAGTGCGCTCTCATTTCAAAACGGTCATGTATCACCAACTGGCCCAATCGACCATATCGGCAAAACATATGGAGAGAGAAACTTCTTCATTCAGAAAGGCATGGAGAAAGAGGGCGTGGGAGGAACCCCTAGTGTCCGGGGTCCCTAGGGCGACTCCAGCGACGAGTCGGGCCCCCTGTATCAGAGCTCGAAGGACCTCGGAAGGTCCATTGCGACGAGCATCATCCCACAGCTCCTCGTTACGTAAAGGGTGAAGGAAAGCAGGTAAGGGAGGAAAGATGTTCGCAGTGCACTCGATCGAGACATGGAACGTCGTGGGCGAGTTTCCACAGCCGGGGCAACGGTCTGCATAGCACTGCGGGTAGAATTTATGAAGTGATACTAGATTGGAAAATGTTTTAGTATGTAACTGGCTTAGCGCTACGGCCTCCTCTCGCGAGAAAGATGGCGGTGAGGCGCTCTGAGTGCGACGGACGCTCCTGTAGTGACGATTGATTGATATGTGGGGTTTAACGTCCCAAAACCACTATATGATTATGAGAGACGCCGTGGTGGAGGGCTCCGGAAATTTAGTCCACCTGGGGTTCTTTAACGTGCTCCCAAATCTGAGCACACGGGCCTACAACATTTCCGCCTCCATTGGAAATGCAGCTGCCGCAGCCGGGATTCGAACCCGCGCCCTGCGGGTCAGCAGCCGAGTACCTTAGCCACTAGACCACCGCGGCGGGGCTCCTGTAGTGACGAAGAATGTCGTAAGTGAGAAGAGGATCCCCCCACTCTAAAATGGTCGCCTTGCCTAGCCGGGCCGTCCGGAAGGAAATTTCCCGGGCAACAGTGTGTGCGCGTTCATTGTCCGGCAGATAGGCATGACCAGGAGTCCAGAGTAAGTGGATGCGAGAAGTACTGTTTGACTGAGAATTTGGTGTGCCCCTCTTCGGATGCCATGTCCTGATAGGAAGGCCTGACATGCCTGTTGCCAGTCTGATACATTGTAATAACGTGAAAAATGGCCAAGGAAGTTGGCTGACCATTCACTGTAAATCCTGCGGCTGCTCGCCGATATTCGATGCGTGCACAGTTATCAAGAGAATGACAAGCTTACTAGAAAGATTATTGAGACTGAGGCTATCACATCACTGGGGTGTAAGTGCACCGGCATTCCCTAGCTTATGCTCAGTGATAAGGCATTGTATTTTTTAAGAGATTACTTTTTGTGCCCATCATACATGTCGCGTGACATTCTTCTGGTGCTATATATATATATATATATATATATATATATATATATATATATATATATATATATATATATATATATGGGAAAGAAGTCTATACTTAAGGGCTCGTTTTTCCGCGTTTGGACACAATAATAATGAAATCTTACAGACAATAATGCCAAGTATATAGGGGAAGTTATTAGACAAAATTGTAAGGTAAATGTGAAGGAAGAAAAGTGGGTAAAAAGATAACTTGCCGTAGGCAGGAACCGAACCTGCGAACTTCGAATAACGCATTTGATGCTGTGCCACTGAGCTACCACGTTGGCTATCCTCCCAGCCACTTTTATTGGGTATATATGTGAATTTAAACGTGGTAGTGTCAGTCAGTGCTATCTGTAGCCATGGCGACGAGCGTGGCACACACTTTATGAGCCTCTGTGGCGTCGTGTAGCATGTGAACTTATTACGAGCTGGCAGCTGACCAATAGTCCCTCGTACACAACCTAAGGCACCAAGTCTGCCAGTACGAGACCCTCGTTAATAAATATGGGAAAGAAGTGTATACTTAAGGGCTCGTTTTTCCGTCTTTTGACACAATATTAAGGAGATCTAACAGACAAAAGATGCCAAAGAAAGTATAGAGGAAGTTATTAGCCCTAATTGTAATGCAAATATGAAGAAAGAAAAGTGGGTGAAAAGATAACTTGCTGTGGGCAGGAACCGAATCTCATTAATATTGTGTCAAAACACAGAAACGCGAGCCCTTAAGTATACACTTCTCCCCCCCCCCCCATATATATATATATATATATATATATATATATATATATATATATATATTAAATAGAGGTGTTGTACGTAGAGAAAGGTTCAGACGCAGCTTGGCAAAATGGGCTTTATCAGGCAGGTCTGGCTAATGGCGAGCGGCGTGCGCGAGCTACTATTGCAGCCACCGATCATCCTCGTCTTCTTCATTACCAGCAGAGCGTCCGTTATTCAGATTCATTACAATTACTCCCCGCGAAATAAGGAGCCATCCTGGCGACCTATCGACAAGTAAACACGGGAGGGTCGTAGCAGGGCTTAAGTCTCGAGACGTGGACAATTTCCTGGCCACGACGACGTTGGTCAGAAGATGGTTCCAGTGCACGGAGGAAGGAAAAAGGTAAGGAGAGGGCATGCCCAGCCGGCGCAGGGCGTAAAAAATGTGGCGGAAATGACATCATGGCGGCCATATTCAGTAGGCACAATGGCGGCGTTGCTATGGTTACGTCTTGCGCAGTGAAGCTGGTCTAGCAGTGAGCGGCCGCGGCTGGCGGCGGAATGTGTGCCTCCCCAGGTCTCGTGCTGAGCCGTGGCCGACAATATCTGTGCTCTGCGCCGCGTTATTGGTTACGCAGTGTTCGTCTGGCTGTTACATTACTCTTAGCCACGTTTACAAATCTCTTTGTCCATCACGGGGTTTCAACAGTGCGTAGAACAAGTGCATATCCATGTGTCGTGCGGCGGATGACGCGGATGAAGCAGTTAGTGTTCAGCGAAATGGCGTTGGGCACCATGATGAAGCTGAATGACGACGAACGCCTTGCAGGTCAGTGACGGTTGAGCAGTGCTCCTGGTTGTGACAACGGACGACGCTGTTGAGCCCAGCAAGACGCCGTGATGACCATGTGCACATACGTAGTTTCGTGTTGTGTGTGTACAGTAACAACTTGTATGTGCGTATTAAAACACCTTTTCTGTTCCGCTTGGTACACTCTCCACCAGCATTGCATGTAATCTCAACGTAACAGCAACCACGTTCAACTGTCACTAGCACCATGCTCAAAGTCACCACGGTCGCAGAATGCTGACGCAGGTGAGTTTCACGCGGAACACGGACACAGTGGCAGGACGCTGCGTCAGTCGCGTGGCGGAATGCAACCGTAGAAGGCGCACGACCGATCGTGTTGTCTGTACAGTTGCTGAATTAATGACGTGAAAGCACTCGCTGTTGTCAGTGCATCTAGCGCGCGTTCTTGCGTAGTTGCTTCGTTGTCAGCGAGCTGTTACTCTTTGTTATTACTCGGATGAAGCGATTTCGCTGAAGGTGTCCCGCTGGCTCTGAGTGATGAGCCCAGTTCCATTAGTTTCGGATCGTCACGACACACGCGCTGCGCAGCCCACGTGCTTTCCGAGCCGGAGAGGGAGTCGCGCCTTCTGCTTCGCATTCATATGTAAACAAGAGAGGAGAATTTGCCTACTTAATATGGCCGACTTCCGGCTTCATCGCGGCTTCACAACGAGTGACGTCAGGGCCTCTCCTTACCTTTTCCTTCCTCCGTGTTCCAGTGGCTCGATGAGGTAATTCACCGGTGACGTTTTTTGTAGCACACGATATGGGCCGTGATACTTGGGGACCAACTTGGTAGAAAGGCCAGGTGTAGCAGAAGGGACAAGCAGCCAGACGAGTGAACCTGGATCGTAGGAAGTAGTGTTATTTGATGCGTCATGGTGGTGCTTTTGGCGTCCTTGGTCTTGGGTTGTGAATGATCTTGCCAGTTGGCGGCATTCTTCAGCGTATGTAGCGGCTTGAGACAAAGTCGTGGACTCTGAGGAGTCAGGTTTGTACGAAAGAATGGTGTCCATAGTGCAAGAAGGTTCGCGTCCGTAAAGAAGGAAAAAAGGAGAGAACCCAGGTAGTGCTTTGAATGGCAGTATTATGAGCGAACGTGATAAACGGGAGCACTCGGTCCCCATTGGAGTGGTCTGACGAGATATACATAGACAGCATGTCACCAAGGGTGCGGTTGAAGCGCTCTGTCATTCCATTGGTCTGGGGATCATAGGCGCTTGTAGTGCGGTGAACGACGTGGCACTCACGCAGCAATGCTGTGATGACATCTGACAAGAATACGCGACCACGATCGCTCAG